AAATAGCTGATGGTACGGAAATATCAGTGGAAAAGAAGGGCACTTTCTTAAAGGCCCCATCAGGAAAAGGATCTGAAGAATACAATAAATTATAGCCTGAGATGGGAGAAATAACAGCAGGGTGTAATTTTGGTTCCTGTAAGCAAACACCAACAGGGCAAACTGGGAGAGTAAACATCTGAAGTTCACCCCGATTACCCCTGAGGCCGCGTATATTCCACTTAAATAGGCCATGATTGGCAATGATAAAGATACCTTGAAATCCGCAGGAAAGGGGTTTCCCCTAGGGACTAAGGGGGTTAGAAAATTTCCACATGCGGAGGCAGGGGGAAAACGTTCAAGCAGCGAAGGAAGGGTGCGCTGTGAAGAAAGGAGTTGCGCAGATGGAGCAGAGGAGAGAGAAAGAGGGGAAAGGGTGGATCAGGTCCATTGATGGTTTGGTCTCTGCAATATATTCAGAGATTGCTTCAAGTTTTTCTGAATTCAGAGACGTCGTATGGGAGACAATATTGGAAATGGGGGGGAGGATGAGAAAAGTTTTGGAACTGTATTGGACTGTACCAAGGTAGGGGGGGGGCGAAAGGGTGGAGGGAATTTGGAGAAACTGGCAGGGGACAGAAAGAGGCAGGAACCTGGGAGGTGGCAGAAGAGGAAGAAACGGAGGCGAGGAAGGTACAGTACGAGGAGGAGGGTGAACCTCTACACTTTAACTGAGCCAGTGAAAGGGGAGAACCAGGGACAGAGAACCAGGAGGGTAAAAGGGAGGAGGTGGAAGATGGGTACGGTGTTAACGGACCTTTTTTTGACTTTTGAGAAGTAGAGGGACGATTGGGAGGAGGTGTCGTACGAGGTCTCTTCGATACTGAGGCTTGTGAGAGAGACTCGAAGAAGCGAGATCAATGAGAGCCTGTAGGGCGTTGAGCCGAGGACAGCAAAAGGATTAGATACAGGAGTGACTATGGGAGAGGTAACCACAGAGGTGGGTGTAGATGGGATACCAGAAGTGGGGGGATGTTTTGAAACACGGGAATAAGAAACACGTGGGAGTCTCCCTTGGAGGCGGAGATGAGAAACTGCCATGGCATAAGGGAGACCTTCTGTCTCTTTGAGGTAACGGATTTCCCGCTCGTTTAAATAGACTTGACAACGGCGAGAGTACGAAGGGTGAGCCTCATGACAGTTAAGGCAAGAGGGAGATCGATTGCAAGACGTATTAGAATGGTCATCGGCACCACAGACTGGGCATTCGGCGATAGATCTGCAATATTTCGCTGGATGGCCAAATCGCCAGCAATTTCTACACTGTTTGTGTGTAGGGATCACCTTTCGAACTTGTAACCGATGTCCTGCATATAAACTGAGGATGGGAGTTCTCGCTGTCAAAAGTTAAACGAGCCACACTTGCTAGGGTATCGTCTCCCCCCCGCGCGGCAGGAAGAACGTAAGTGTCTACCTTGAGGATTGGGAGATCTTGGAGTTCCAGCTGTTCAAGAATGTCAGTGCCACATGTCTGGAAATTTTGTTGAACTATGGTATGGGGCAGAATGACGGTACCACTACAAGAATTGAGGGAATGATGTTTTTCAAGAGTGACAGGAACAGTATCATATGGAAAGACGAGAGCTCATGAGCCTGGGTAGCATTCTGTACGGTAATGATGCGCGTACCGCTCTTAAGAGCATGAAAAGAAATATCTTTACCAACATGGCATAGGAGTGCCTTGCCAATACTTCGGTCAGAAAGATAGGCAGTAGAGGAAGTCGGTCGTAAAGTGAAGAATTTAGTCCATTGTTCAGTCTGAAACTGAGCGTGGAAAGGTAGTGAAGGACGTGTCGATCGTTTCTGAGAAGAACGAGAAGGTGGAGAAGTATCATCAGCAGGTAATTGTCGTTGGCGTTTAGGCGTGGGACCAGAGTTGGTCCGACGTGGAACGGGTCGGCAATTTGAAAATTGCCGCACCGTAGAGGGAGAGGCCGGAAGCATAGTCAGAGGAGAGCGAAGGCCGATAAATCAAAGGAGTCAGTCGAGGCCCTATACCTGAAGCGGGTGAGGAAACAGCCCCGGGCAATAGGTACAGAGGCATGAGGAGTGTCTGAAGAGTGTCAAAGACGAGGCGGGGTCAGAACGGGTGGGTATCAAGAAGGGGCCCGGGGTATAGTTCATGGACTAGGGCTGCCATGGTTAGGTTACTTCTTTCTTTTTGTTTTTAAGAAAAAAAAAGAAAAAGAAAAAAAATAAAAAAAGAATAAAAAAAAGGGGGGACCGGGGGATTATTCCTGAGGAATGAAAGGGCCAAATCTCCCTCCTGCCCAAGAGGACCCACACCGCAAGTAGCGGGAGATGCAGCATGGAACCCGTGCCATACCCTACCCATCATGCTAGTAAACTAACAATCCGGATAGCAACCTCACATCTGCCGACTACCTCGGTGGACAAAAGAGAGGGCGGCGGATAACCGCCACAAAGCATACCTCCTTCGGCCACCACCCCGGAATCCGAAAGGTGGCTTTCCCGAGATACACCCGCGCCCGAAAGACACCCAAAGCTACTCCGGGATACCGGAGAGGGATTTGGGACATCCCCAGGCGATCCAGATTCCACGGCCAAACTACGCCACCCCCAAGAACCTCAACGGAATGGGATAGACCCGGGATCCTTTCCCCTACCTAGGAACTAGCCGCCTGTGGGAGCAAAACCCAAAGGGGCCCAAAAAAAAAGGAAGGGCAAAAGGGAGGGGTGGGGAGGAGGAAGGAAAGGAAAAAGGGGAGGATGGGGTAGGGGAGGGGAGATTGGGGGTAATTAGGTTCGGTCGAGGAAAAGACCGACAGGTCTAATTCCTCAGACCAAGAGCCTCTTCACCACGCCAAGGAGCCCCCCTTGAAGAGGAAGGGAAGGTAAAGAGAGAGCAGCTTCATCATCTCTGAAGTCTTAGCAAGAATCCTCCTGAAAACAGTAAACCCTGCCATCACATAGTCTCTCCTGTTATACTACACAAAGCACATTACAGAGTGAACACTGAAACAGGCCTTCTCTATCAGTCTATATTTGTCCAACCTATTTTTATGTTACCCAAGTAATAGCTCTTATATCCTTTTACTCATGTACAAATCAGTTGCTCTACCATATTGTATTACTACTACAACTTTTGTCACTAACTACTACTACCACTAGTGAACATCGAAATGGTACCTCACTCTGAGCCTTTATATACCCTCTGTGTCCATATACTGTTTGTATCAGCTTGACAAAGCTCCTGGAGAGCTAAACATTGCCACAATAAAATGTCACATTAGTTGCACTTGTGTCCTTTTACTTTAAATATCTTTATGCTTGGTAAAGAGGTGGCATAGCCAAAGTCGGATACGGAGGACTAAGGGGTGAGGTGTATCAAATTTCTGTATAGCCTGTAAAACATTAAGGGAGTCTGAGACAACCACAAATGATGACACAGGCATAGATGCAATACGGATAAGTGCTGCAAGAATGGCATACAATTCAGCAGTAAAAATACTATCCGAAGATAGTAAATGCCCTCGTACGACGCTGTCTGGAAACACTGCTGCGAATCCTACGCCATCAGAAAACTTAGAGCCATCTGTGTACACTGCAATGGCATGAGAATGAGAGTGGAAGTGGTCAAGAAAAAGAAAGCGGGAAGCGACCGTAGACAGTTGGGCTTTCGAGCAAGGGAGAGAGAGAAAGAATAGACTTGAGCAGCTGGAACTTCCCAGGGGGGTAGGGAAAAGTGAGATGCTACATGAACGTAGAAAGGTGGTAATTGAAGAGAAGACAAGAGCGAATGTAGGCGAAGAGAGAAGGGACGGAGTAAACAGGGGCGGCGAACAAATAAAGAAGGTCTACTAATATCAGTGACCGTTCTATAAATGGAATGATTGCAGAGATCATGAGAATGTACATAGTAGCGAAGGCAATGGGCATCACGGCGATCAGATAAGGATGGAACATTTGCTTCTGCATAGAGGCTCTCTACAGGGGAAGAGCGAAAAGCACCAAGGCATAAACGTAATCCTTGGTGATGAATGGGGTTAAGGCTAGAGAGAGTAGCAGGAGAGGCGCTGAATAGATCTGGTCACCATAATCAAGTTTCGATAAAATGAGGGTGGAATGTAGGCGAAGGAGAGTTCGACGATCAGCTCCCCATGAAAGATGAGCAAGGGTTTTAAGAAGGTTCAGCCGGCTGTGACAAGTTGCCTTCAAAGAGGTAATGTGAGGTTTCCAGGATAACCTACAGTCAAAGAGGAGGCCCAGAAACCTGACTGTATCACGTTCAGGGATACGGGAGCCATAGAGGTACAAAGGATGATTGGAGATGACAGAGCGTCATGTGAAAGTAATTTGGTGAGTTTTGGTACTGGAAAATTTAAACCCATGTGTGGTGGCCCAATTGGAAACACGGTCGACAGCATGCTGGAGAGAAACTGTAATGAGGTGACAGTCAGCACCTGCACAGGCAATAGCGAAGTCATCAACATAGTGATGACCAAATATCTGATGGAAGACTAGAGGCCAAATCATTTATAGCAAGGAGAAAAAGTGTTGTGCTCAGAACATATCCCTGGGGGACACCTTCAGTTTGGATAAAGTCCGGGGAGAGCACATTATTAACCTTAACACGGAAATATCTATCAGTTAAGAACTTTTTAAGGAAGGATGGTAGATTGCCTCGGAGGCCTAAGAAGTGGGCTTGGGCCAAAATCTTCATGAGATTTTGGCAAGACATCTACTGAGTGAATGATGGTTTGTGTGTTTCCTTTGAGAGAGGACCAATGGTAGAAAAAAAAAAATGACTGTACAGTGTTTTAAATTATTCTAATAGAAATTCAAAGTGCTATATTTTCTTTAATGTTGGTTTTAGTCTTTGGTCCACTGTGTTTATGGATTATCTTAATGTTTTGTGTACACCATCAAAGAAAATTAGATTTATGATGATTGTTTGAGTCTAATTTTGTGGTCATTAGGTTTCACTAAAAAACAGCAAATAGTTATAACTGTAGAAAGAACCTAAAATATTTTGCAAAACATGAAATTGAACACTTAGTTACATTTTATACAAGGATACATTAATGCCCACTAAGTTTGGCAGTTTCCTGACGAATGACATTAATAAGATCAAGATTAATAAGAAATATGAATCTGAGTGATGCTATCTCTATCACTGAATTATTGTTGAGTTTGGTTTTGTTTCCAGCTAAAACAGGTTTCCCATCAACATATATTGGTCTCTTTCCTTCATTTGCAACCAGGAAGTCGCCAGTGTTGCGAAGTTTGATGATGCCCTGTGGATAAATGTTAATTATTAGAATTGTTTAATCATTATTGTGTGTTGAAAGCTTTAAACCTGTGCATGTCAAGTCATTCCCGACTGCAATGTTAGGGATGGGATACCGAGATTAGGAAATTATTATAATTGTAACTAAGTGCTAAACCCACAAGATTCATACAGCATTGATATCAGGAAAGAAAAGATGGTTTAGTACAGGTATTGAATGCCCATAAAGGTAAATTGAGGCATTGGAAGTTGGTGTAGCAAGTAAGCTTAGATGAAATAGCAGTTAGAGGCTGAAGCAGAATGACCTATATGGGTTTAGTGCATTTTGTATGCTTCTTTTAACACACTGGCCGTATTCCACAGAGGCAGGGTGACCTAAAAAGAATAATGAAAGTTTTTTTTATTTATTAAATTTTTTTTTTTTTTTTCAACAAGTCGGCCGTCTCCCACTGAGGCAGGGTGACCCAAAAAATGATAGCGTTTAACATGGTGATCCTCAAGGCCCCAGCGGTGGATCTCGTAGTGTGATTTAACATTTCAAGATCCTGAATTAATGAGGGAAAGCTATAAAAAAACTGCTGTACAGTCAGTACAACATGACAACTTCAAAAGGGAAGAGATTGGAAAAAAAAAAATAATCAGTAAAAAAATATTTCAAACCTCTCAATATTACAGTAAATTTACTTATGCGATAGTGGTATTCAATACCGTTAATAACAAAAAAGGCACAATACCGTGACTGGAACGATACACAAATAACCCGCATATAAAAGAGAGAAGCTTACGACGACGTTTCGGTCCGAGTCGGACCGAAACGTCATCGTAAGCTTCTCTCTTTTATGTGCGGGTTATTTGAATACCGTTAAGGTTGAAAAGACACATTTACAACATTTGGGTATCTTTATTTGCCTGCATAAGAGATTTTTTTAAATTTAATACAGGAGCATCTTTTATGCTGGAAACAGTGGAAGTGGAGAGGCAATTTTGGCTCTGGTCCTCATGAAATGGATAAGCCAGAAAAAATTGGTTTAGAAGAAAATGAATTGCCTATCTATAAAACAAAAGCACAGTTTTTAATCTTTTGCCAAAAGGTTAAACCAGTGTGTTTAGTTCCATAGAATATTTCAAGCAGAGGTATTATACTGAAACTAGAGGAGAGGTAGAAGTACACCAGTTGGAGATACGTAGTATCACAGATGGGTGAGACCCACTAGTGGAAGTAGGTCATGGCAATAAATTGGGCTAGCAGTTAGCAATAGAGTTGTACAATATATCCGCTATGCTAAGAATCCATTGTCAAATAAGTATCACACATTGATATTTGTCTGGCACAGACACACAATGGAATCTTGGTACAGAGGATATAGTCTACAATTCTATGGCTAGCTGTTGGCTAAATTTATTGGCATAACCAACTTCCACTAGTGTGTCCCACCCATCACACTGTCTCTTAACTACTGCACCTCTCCTCTAGCTCCTGTATGTAAAACTACTCTCAAGTTTCTGCTTCAGATAAGTGCTAAGGGACTGAACACCTTGAAGTTACCTATCAACTTCAACTGTCTTCAGTATAAAAGTCACCTCTGTATATGATTAAAAAAGTCTGCTGTGCAGGCAAAATGTTTCCATAATAAAAATACCTGTGTTGCACAATAGTTTTATTCAGCAAATTTAGTCTTTGCTGTTTTAAGATGAATGATGTTTTATTAGTCAACAATAATATAGCTTGGCAAGGGCTAAAGCATAGGGACCAGTTCCATCAAACCCTTTATTAATAAGGACCATTTAATATCTCGTCTAGATTATAAATAACATATAAATAATCACTTTTTTAAACTCACTTGTCTACGGGATATCTTCCATGCAGGCCCTTCCAATGCTAGGTCAACATCTACATTCACACCTGCAGCTTTTCGGCCCAAAGTGATCTCTCGTGAGCGCATCAGATATCTGAAAGTGATTATAGCTGTTTGCTATTGTTTTAGATGGGCAATTCCAATAGCACTGGAACACTAAAATTAGATTTTTAAACATTCCAGACAAGATATATTACTGTGTTCATATGCAGTCCACAGGTTATTATAAAAGTAAAAAGTAATTTAGTTCACAGCATATTACGTATAATCAAAAAGAAGCGCTAAACCACAAGGGCTATACAGCGGTTCACAGCATAAAGATGCTTTTTTTTAATTTTATTGATAGAGTTCAATATACTTAGCCACCTATAATACAAAACTTATTTTCAAGGAGGAGGCGGTTGGAGGCAGTGGAGATGTCCTGTCTAAGGGCAATGTGTGGTGTAAATATTATGCAGAAAATTCGGAGTGTGGAAATTAGGAGAAGGTGTGGAGTTAATAAAAGTATTAATCAGAGGGCTGAAGAGGGGTTGTTGAGGTGGTTTGGTCATTTAGAGAGAATGGATCAAAGTAGATTGACATGGAGAGTGTATAAATCTGTAGGGGAAGGAAGGTGGGGTAGGGGTCGTCCTCGAAAAGGTTGGAGGAAGGGGCTTGGACTTCCAGCAAGCGTGCGTGAGCGTGTTAGATAGGAGTGAATGGAGACAAATGATATTTAGGACATGAAGAGCTGTTGGAATGTGAGCAGGGTAATATTTAGTGAAGGGATTCAGGGAAACCAGTTATTTTATACAGCTGGACTTGAATCCTGGAAATGGGAAGTACAGTGGACCCCCGGTTCATGATATTAATCCGTTCCTGAGAGCTCATCATAAACCAAAATTATCGGAAAGCGAATCAATATTCCCCATAAGAAATAATGGAAATCAAATTAATCCATGCAAGACACCCAAAAGTATGAAAAAAAACTTTTACTACATGATATATTAAGTTTAATGCAATATAATAATTACAATAACAATAATAACAATAGTATAATCACAATAGAATAATTGACACTTACCTTTAATGAAGATCTGGTGATGATTGATGGGATGGGAGGAGGAGAGAGTGTCGAAGTTTTTAATGTTTAGAAGGGGAATCTCCCTCCATTAAGACTTGAGGTAGCAAGTCCTTTTCCTGGGGTTACTTCCCTTCTTCTTTTAATGCCACTAGGACCAGCTTGAGAGTCACTGGACTTCTGTTGCACAACATATCTGTCCATAGAGGCCTGTACCTCTCGTTCCTTTGTGACTTCCCTAAAGTGGTTCAAAACATTGTCAGTGTACAGGTTGCCAACACGGCTTGCAGTAGCTGTGTCAGGGTGATTTTCATCAAAAAAGGTTTGTACTTCAAGCCACTTTGCACACATTTCCTTAATTTCAATAGTTATTAGCACCCTTGGTCTCGATGGGTTGGCACTAGAAGCTTTCTTGGGGCCCATGGTGACTCATTTTGCAGAAACAAGCACCAAAAACAGTGATAACATGGATAATATAGAATGTACCGAATGTATCCTTAGATGTGCGCACACCGGCTGGCTTGTAAACACGTCTCGTATGAATCGTATCGCATACTGGGTTTTGTAACGGGAACTGAGGCAAATGTTTTGCGATATAATGCTACGGATACCGGATTTATCGGATACCGATGGCTTCGCAAACCGGGGATCCACTGTACAATGCCGGCACTTTAAAGGAGAGGTTTGGGATATCGGCAGTTTGGAGGGATATGTTGTGTATCTTTATACGTATATACTTCTAAACTGTTGTATTCTGAGTACCTCTGCAAAAACAGTGATTATGTGTGAGTGAGATGAAAGTGTTGAATGATGATGAAAGTATTTTCTTTTTGGGGATTTTCTTTCTTTTCGGGTCACCCTGCCTCGGTGGGAGACGGCCAACTTGTTAAAAAAAAAAAAATATCATAGTGCTCCTCACTTAATTTTTCCCTTTCTAAGGAATTACCCTCTGCTTCCTCAGATCATACCTGATTATCCCTTACCTCTCCTATTTCCCATGCATTTTATGATCCTTATCTCAGCACCTACCTTGAGGGTTGTCATCAAGGGTCTCTTGATGCAAGGAAGTGAGTATATCTTCCTCTTCCCTGGATTGACTCTGATTGCCTCACATCTCCCAAGTGCTATGGATCCCTATGGGTTTAGCATTTCCCCACTAATAATTAATAATATATGATCCTTACAGGTTTAGTGCTCTTCCATGAATATAATACATAGTTTCCATCCTTCCTGTTCTTCCCAATACTGATTTATTCTATCGCGTTTCTTTCAGGACCCATTTATTTCCTCGCCTATATTTTTTGATAACCTATTTTGCCTGATGTGTAAGCCAGCACATGACACATTCTTTTACTGCATTTACTGTACTATGGGAAGAGGCTGACTCTGAACTGGTTCAGTTATGTGCAATTTTTGTGACAGTGATTAAATTTTATGCCACAGAACTTAGTTTAACTTTGTGAAACAAAACTTAAAAGTGCTACATGCCTGACTAGTCGGCCACGAAGAACAGCAAGAGTCTGGTTGTCAAATTCAGGTGGAGAAATTCCTGTGACCGTATCAACCAAAACTTGCCACTTGGAGACTTGATCTTCAAGAAGACGAATTTCGCGTTTGCTTCCTCTACTGGCCACTCCAAGCTCGTGCTCCAAGAGGTCATCGCTACTCTCGTATAACTCAGAATCATGAATCTGTCGATGCAGTAAGTGTATTCAGAACATCCAATACTATATATGATTATATTTGGGAAGTTAACTGGCCATTTTTCATTAAGGCAAGGTGATTCAAGGAAGAAACACCTTCACTATTACATTATCCAGCTCCCTTTCCAGAGGGACACAAATATAGAACAATGCTAACAAACTACATCATTGTCTTTCAACTTTTCAAAGTGCAGGCACCAACCACTTCCAAAACTCAAGCTTGGTTTCTCTTAATCTTCATAGATATTACCATTCTCACACTTCAATGGCACATTAGATTTCAAAGATCACTCAGTCTGATCTAATAAGTGCATGTGTCTATTGGATGTTTAAGCCCTTGTATGATACCGTGTCAGGTACACAGTAGTACAGTGGAGTCAGAATGTAATATATCAATACCCACAAAAAGCAGATTCAGTGTTTGAGTTATGAGGATATAGTATATCAACAGATTGCGAGAGAACATACCTAGTTGCAGTATTTTCAACAAATGATATTAAACATACAGTAAAATATATAAAACATTTAAATATTTATGGAGCTTAATGAATGTTAATTGCTATTTGCCCTTACCTGTTGTTCAGCTTCTGTGAAATCCTTCACTGGACCATTCTTATTAAGAGGTGGAACACTTTGATCAGGTAGGAGATGATACTGCTTAAGCAACTGCCAGTGAGCCATTAGACTTTTTGCTGTGCGAGATGGGAAGAACACGTGAGGATTGTCCTTAAGGTGTTGCTCAAATGTCTGTAGCGTTGGGTTAGAATTAGACTTTATGGCACCCAGGAGCTCCTCTTCGGCCTTACTGTATAGTGCTCGAGACTGCACTGCCTGTATCTGCATTCAAAAGAGCAAGTTTAATCAATACAATCACACATCTTTTCTACCATTTAAAGTCTTCTAGATACAGTCCAACCCCATAAATTCTAAAGCATTTAACTCTAAGTCAGAAAAGCTTTAATGCCTCCAACGATGATTAATTTGTAAATCCCCATTGGCTGATCAGACCAAATTAAATACTAGTTTACAGAAGTAGGACAAGAGTTTAATTGATCAATGTTTTTATTTTGAAAGGAAGGGTAAATCTGCCTCAATTTACTCATTTGGTGGAGAAACACTGATATGCAAATCTAATGCAATTTTTTTTTTTTTTTTTTTTTGCAAGGTCTTGTAGAACATTCTCTTGCCAGCAGTGATGAATCAAAGTAGAATCAAGTAGAACTTGACTGTGTTCATGTGTGCAAATACAGCTGCAATATTTGTGCAAATTACTCATCACTGGATAAGGGCACATACATATTCACAGACTTCAGTTGCAAATATATTTTTCTCACTGCTTCTTAATTTTGTCTCACGTCCTAAGTAGATATTGCATTTCAAATCATATCTACAACTGTCGTTGATGCAGTAATTAACTTGGAGAACAAGTATTGCTGGTGTGAACCACATCACCAGATGTCGCATATATAAACAATGTCTCATCGTATACAATGGGGAGGGAGAGAGGGACGTAGATTCAAGAAATCATTCATTCAGTTCCATCCAACTCCTCCAACCCTTATGAGGTTTAAATAAAAGCATCCCTTACATTGTATATAAATGCATATACAGTAATGTAACTAATGAGGACAAATACTAAAGACAGTGGTAAATACAATTCAGTTGGTAGTGTGCCTACTGACCATGCTACCACAGAAAAGTTCCCAGCTGAGCTAACTAACAATATCTTTGAGGGTGGCTACAAACCTGAGCAAAAGTTTAATGCCGATGAGATAGGTAATTTTCTTCCAGAACAAACAACCCTCTACCCCCGCACTATTCACTGCCCCGCTGATCTCCGTAACCTACTAATCACCCCTCTCAATTTTGCCACCTGATACCCTTGCTTCCTTCCCTGCCCTGCGGTGCTGTATAGCTCTTGTGGTTTAACGCTTCTTTTTGATTATAATAATAATCCAGAACAAACTTCTAGAACATCCATCAGCAAACAAGAGAAAACTGCTCCTGTATTCACAGCCCCAAAACAGTTTCAGCTTGCTTCTTTGCAATAATGCATCGGGAGATTTTTAATGTAAACCCATGTTTGTTTATCGCTCCAAGAATCGCTGTGCTTGAAAATGTAAAGACAAAAGCATATTGCCTGTTAACTGAAGTCCAATGCCTACTTCAGGAACTGGTTCACACATCACTTTATTCCCAAAATAAGGACATACCTGTCACCGAAAAATATTGCCTTCAGGGTTCTCCTAATCCTTGATAACTGTCAGTCATCCTCAACTCCTGAACGACATGGAACAGGGTGTCAAGATTTTCTTTTTACAATCAAATACTACATCCTTAATACAACCACTGGATCAAGGAGTTACCAAAACATTTAAGTGCCATTACACATGCAATGTGGTGCATAAACTAGCTGCAGAAATTGTCAACACAGTGAAGTGCCAGTTTTATAAAAAATTTAACACTGCAGATGCACTCCCATGTGTGCAAAAAGTATGGGGTCATGTACCAAAATCAACAATAATGCTTATTGGAGAAAAATATGGCCTAGTGTTGTGAATGATTTTACAAGTTTTCCATCAGTGGAAAGTCAAGTTCAGGATACAGTTGATCTGGTAAGGAGAATGCAAAGTGAGGAATTTGAAGATATGCAATCAGATAACATCAATGAACTAATGGAAAATGATGATGATGAGGAACCAATTGCAGAGGAAATGTTGTAGGAATTAAATTCCCAGCTGAAGAGAACAGAAGACAATGAGGATGAGGAATCCAAGCCTGAATGACAACTCACCACAGCAAGAGATGTGCAAGTCACTGAAAACTGTCAGTAAGCTTGCAGACTTGTTTATTAAAATGGACCACAACTCATCTCAAAGCATTGCTGTAAATGTGTTCTGGAGTAGGCAGTTAGCCTTTTCATCTGCTGTATAAAGAACTGCAGGGTAAAACAAACCAGTGGGATATGACAACAGTACCTGAGGACTCCACTGCAACAATTCATTGATGAAGCTGCATCAACATCACAAGAACCCCAACCTTCAGCCTCAACCCATTAGAGCCACAGCCACCCCCCTCTTCACTCACTTCAAGAGGGTTAGCATTCATAACACTACATCAAGGCAAACACAGTATCAAATGCAGTACTGTACAGGTATGTATTAATGGAACCATTTTTTAGCTACATGTACTCTCTTAACTGACTGAACTTCACTAGAGTTCAGGTATATTTCAAACAACATTCAACAAAATTAGGTAGGAAAAAATATTTTTTGTAAAAAAACCTGTCTGGGGGTCTGAGGCAATGCAACCCTATTTTTCCCATATATTTTTCAGTACATAAATTGTGGAAATCATTGGTAGCGCAGTGTGCAGGAACATGTCCCACACAAATTATGACTATCCACTATACATATACCGTATACTGTCTACTTTGAGCCTGTGGACAATTCAGAAATCTCTATAATCTGTACTGCTCCTGGCCCTGTTTATTGTTATACAGGGTGTCCAACAAAAACACTCCCTGATTTCAAACAGGTATAACATATAACTTTATTGTAATAATCTTTGACAGTTAGTAGCTTCAGAAGCAGGATTTCAGTCAGTTTCATGTGGTATAGGGTAGCATTAAAAGCACTCAATGTGCGCCCCTCTGGTTGCTCGGCAAACATCGATGCGATAGTCCAGTTCGGTCCAGATGCTCTGCAGCATATCTGGTGTTATCATTCAAACTGCTTCAATGATCAAAATTTTCGGCTTCTCCACGGTTGCAGGTAGTGGTACACGTAAACTGTGCTCTTCACGTACCCCCAAAGAAAGAAGTCACAAACAGTTAGGTCCAGTGACCTCGCAGGCCACTTGCAGAGGTCACGGACCTAACTTTGTGACTTCTTTCATTAGGGGTACGTGAAGAGCACAGTTTACATACTACCACTACCTGCAACCCTGGAGGAGCCGAAAACTCTGATCACTGAAGCAGTTTGAATGATAACACCAGATATGCTGCAGAGCATCTTGACCAAACTGGACTATTGCATCGATGTTTGCCGAGCAACCAGAGGGGCGCACATTGAGTGCTTTTAATGCTACCCTATACCACATGAAACTGATTGAAATCCTGCATCTGAAGCTACTAACTGTCAAAGATTATTACAATAAAGTTACATGTTATACCGGTTTGAAATCAGGGAGTATTTTTGTGGACATCCGTATTTATGGAAAGGATCATTCAAAATCACATGTCAGAAGCAGAAGGAAGGTGGAGGTGGTGTCGAGGAAAAAAAATTGTTGTCAATTAAGAAATCAAAGCTTCTCAACATTAAAGGTGAAACCATAAGAGATGAAAGTGAACAAAATAAACACGTCAGAGCATTAAAGAAGGTTTGAAATGAAGTTACTGTACTCTTTGATGACCTGGATGACTCACAAAATCATAATAACACGACGAATCTTAAGCCAGCTGGCCGAGTGGCTTATGAACTGGCTTGGAATTTTAAGACTCGCTTGCCATGGGTTCAAATCCCAGCCGTTCCATGGTTTGCGAGCTGGATACTTCATCATGAAATGTTGGACCCAGGAAAACTGTACTGTACAACCCCTGCAGTGGCATGGATGCTTCCTGGCCCTGAGGGGACCAAATTTATGGGGTTAGACTGTATTAACATGTTAATCAATTGTTAGATTACAAGAATAGGGGAAAACCAATGGCCTCTAAATAATAAACTTTTTTTTTTTTTTTTTTCAACAAGTCGGCCGTCTCCCACCGAGGCAGGGTGACCCAAAAAAAAGAAAGAAAATCCCCAAAAAGAAAATACTTTCATCATCATTCAACACTTTCACCACACTCGCACATTATCACTGTTTTTGCAGAGGTGCTCAGAATACAACAGTCTAGAAGCATACACATATAAAGATACCAACATATCCCTCCAAAATGCCAATATCCCAAACCCCTCCTTTAAGTGCAGGCATTGTACTTCCCATTTTTCCAGGACTCAAGTCCGACTATATGAAAAAAACCGGTTTCCCTGAATCCCTTCACTAATATTACCCTGCTCACACTCCAACAGATCGTCAGGTCCCAAGTACCATTCGTCTCCATTCACTCCTATCTAACACGCTCACGCACGCTTGGGTGGAAGTCCAAGCCCCCTTTCCCCCAAACCTCCTTTACCCCCTCTCTCCAACCCTTTCGAGGACGACCCCTACCCCGCCTTCCTTCCCCTATAGATTTATATGCTTTCCATGTCATTCTACTTTGATCCATTCTCTCTAAATGACCAAACCACCTCAACAACCCCTCATCTGCCCTCTGACCTAATACTTTTATTAACTCCACACCTTCTCCTAATTTTCCCACCTCCGAATTTTCTGCATAATATTTACACCACACATTGCCCTTAAACAGGACATCTCCCACTGCCTCCAACCGCTCCCTCGCTGCTGCATTTACCACCCAAGCTTCACACCCATATAAGAGTGTTGGTACTACTATACTTTCATACATTCCCTTTTTTGCCTCCATAGATAACGTTTTTTTGACTCCACATATACCTCAACGCACCACTCACCTTTTTTTCCCTCATCAATTCTATGATTAACCTCATCCTTCATAAATCCATCCGCCAACACGTCAACTCCCAAGTATCTGAAACATTCACTTCTTCCATACTCCTCCTCCCCAATTTGATATCCAATTTTTCTTTATCTAAATCATTTGACACCCTCATCACCTTACTCTTTTCTATGTTCACTTTCAACTTTCTACCTGAAACACACATTCCCAAACTCATCCACTAACCTTTGCAATTTTTCTTTAGAATCTCCCATAAGCACAGTATCATCAGCAAAAAGTAACTGTGTCAATTCCCATTTTGAATTTGATTCCCAAAATTTAATCCCACCCCTCTCCCGAACACCCTAGCATTTACTTCCTTTACAACCCCATCTATAAATATATTAAACAACCATGGTGACATTACACATCCCTGTCTAAGACCTACTTTTACTGGAAGTAGTCTCCCTCTCTTCTACACACCCTAACCTGAGCCTCACTATCCTCATAAAAACTCTTTACAGCATTTAATAACTACCACCTATTCCATATACTTGCAACATCTGCCACATTGCTCCTCTATCCACTCTATCATATGCCTTTTCTAAATCCATAAATGCAATAAAAACTTCCCTACCTTTATCTAAATACTGTTCACATATATGCTTCAATGTAAACACTTGATCTACACATCCCCTACCCACTCTGAAACCTCCTTGCTCATCAGCAATCCTACATTCTGTCTTACCTCTAATTCTTTCAATTATAACCCTACCGTACACTTTTCCTGGTATACTCAGTAAGCTTATTCCTCTATAATTTTTACAGTCTCTTTTGTCCCCTTTCCCTTTATATAAAGGGACTATACATGCTCTCCACCAATCCCTAGGTACCTTCCCCTCTTTCATACATTTATTAAACAAAAGTACCAACCACTCCAACACTATATCCCCCCCTGCTTTTAACATTTCTGTCATGATCCCATCAGTTCCAGCTGCTTTATTTATTATTATCACACTGGCCGATTCCCACCAAGGCAGGGTGGCCCGAAAAAGAAAAACTTTCACCATCATTCACTCCATCACTGTCTTGCCAGAAGGGTGCTTTACACTAGTTTTTAAACTGCAACATTAACACCCCTCCTTCAGAGTGCAGGCACTGTACTTCCCATCTCCAGGACTCAAGTCCGGCCTGCCGGTTTCCCTGAATCCCTTCATAAATGTTACTTTGCTTTACCCCCTTTCATTTTACGTAATGCCTCACGTACCTCCCCCACACTTACATTCTGCTCTTCTTCACTCCTAAAAGATGGTATACCTCCCTGACCAGTGCATGAAATTACTGCCTCTGTTTCTTCCTTAACATTTAAAAGTTCCTCAAAATATTCTCGCCATCTACCTAATACCTCCATCTCCCCATCTACTAACTCCCCTACTTTGTTTTTAACTGACAAATCCATACTTTCCCTGGGCTTTCTTAACTTGTTTAACTCACTCCAAAATTTTTTCTTATTTTCATTAAAATTTCTTGACAGTGCCTCTCCCACTCTATCATCTGCTCTCCTTTTGCACTCTCTCACCACTCTCTTTACCTTTCTTTTACTCTCCATATACTCTGCTCTTCTTATAACACTTCTGCTTTGTAAAAACCTCTCATAAACTATGTTGAATTATATTTACTGTTCATTCTTAACATTTAACAGTCCACAAACAAATTTACCAGTGTCATGTTTTGAAAGTGCATATATGCAGTAAGACTTCTCTGATCATCTTGCATACTGTATTGTATATTATATCTTGTATGCTAAAATTTCTAAATAAATAAATAAATCTATGAATAACCTGTATTTTGTTGAAAATTAATTTTAAAAAGCTAAACCTGGCAGGGTGATAAAGTATACCAAGGCTTATGTTGTATTGTACGTACTTACCTGGTCAGGATGCAGATTTTTCATGGCCTGCTGAGCAATTCGTGACACCGTAGGGTCATAAAGTAAAGCATACCATCTTTCTTGAACTTCTCCAAGGGTAAACTTGCATGAAAATTTCACTCCTCTATGCACTGTAACCAAATCACATGTCTGTTGCACTCCAATGATCAGCCCCAAGTCATCTGTGGGTTTCCACCTGCCTAAATCTTTAGTAACAATTGACTGTGATCCCCTGCCTTTTCTAGCTCTTTTACTGGAAGACTTTGATGATAAGCGTTTGCGAACATCTGACGTAACAGAAGGGGTTGGGGGTAAAGACAATGAACAATCAGATGCTGTAGACAATGATGGATTACGTGTTCGAATTTTACTAATTGGGGTGGAGCCTTGTCCCCCAAGACTGGATTCTACCAATTCATCATCAAATTTTGGTCGCTTAATGGCACGAGATGAAGATCTTCTCTTTGTTCCATCATCAATTAGGCTGCTAGTGCTGGTAGTGCGTTCACGGGGTGGTAGTGAGAGCTCCATTGTTCGGTAACGTGGCCGATTATTCATTCTAAAAGAAAAAGAAAATGGTTCAGTTAAGAGCTATATAAAGTTTTTATCATCATTATATCATCTGCAACTCGTCAATCTAGGTTTGATACAGTACATACATGCATCGACAAAAACTAAGTGTTTACTAAATACCGGTAAATTAAATTTATTAATGTTATACTAATGTCCTACAGTGAACTGACTGACCCTTCAGTTTGAAGAGTAGCTCAATGAACCCTGGAAATAGTATTAAATACTACAGTATTAGCTTTCCTTTATCATTTAAAGAGTTATAACTTGTAATACTGTAAATTTAAAAAATTCCTCCCTAAAATATGTAAAATGTAACAAATTAAAGGTACTAATCACATAACATGTTTATAGGCAAACTATTACATGATGCACATTCCTCACCCTTACATAGAGTTTTACCTCATGCAAAATCACTTGTAAATGTGATGACCTTTGTTACCAGTAATTTTGCTTCCTACGTAAAACATGTTAAAGAATAATACTTTATAGACTCAGGGAACAACCATTATGGGGAAGGGTATGGGGTATGAAAGATACTCTTAGCACTTTATGTAGTTGCAAAATCACACAGTGAGCTTTTAGCAGTGTTTGTAGGAAAAGAAGATAAAGTCCAACAAACATGTTCAAAGTGAGCGTTTTTGCTAGAAAAAACATTCACTCTGAACGTGTTTGCTTGGATTTTTTTATCCTTTCCTTAAACACTGGGAGCTCGTGAAAGGCCTAAAGCTATCTTGCATTGTTTGTTCACAATTTTTTTGCATATTCATAGACTATATTACAAAATCAGACACTAACTCTCACTTCATCTCTAGTTTTATGAAAGGAAAAAGTGTGCAGAATTATACTACAGGTTGACCATCACTAATCCGGCATCACTGGGACTTGCTGGCTCCCAGATTTAGCGATTTTGCCAGATCACAGTGTTTCGGATAGCATCATTTCAAATTACGCATAGCCGAAATTAGTGCTGGATTAGTGATGGAACCAGATTAGTGATTGCCGGATCAGTGAAAGCCGACCTGTACCATTTTTCACACTAGATGGGGAAGAGAAGGTATTGGAAGGGTTCAGGGAATATTGGGAGTTGCTGAATGTTGAAGAGAGGCATTGATTTCATGCACTGGGTAATGGTATACCATGTTGTAGGAGTGAGGAAGAGCTAAATGCGAGTGTGGGGAAAAGTGCTCAAGGCAGAGGGAAGAATGAAAGGGGGTAAAGCAGATGGGATAGAGGAAATAAAGACTGTAATATTAAAGGTAGGTAAGGGCATAATTTTGGAGTGGTTGTTGTATTTGTTTCATATATGCATGAAAAGCAGAAAGATAACAAAGGACTGGCAGAGAGTATTTACATTTCCTTAGTATAAGGTTAAAAAAGGATAAAAACCATGTAAAAATACAATGTGTAAAGTGTATCGTAGAGTTATTATTGAAAGAATTAAAGATAAGCCAGAGAAGAGTTGCAGATGAACAAGGTTGTTTTAGAATAGGTAGGGTGGGAGATGGACAGTGTGTTAAAGAAAAAAAACTTGGCTTAGACATTCCCTTTATTAAATTCACCATACCATAGCTAAATAAGTAATACAAAGACAAGCTAAATGCTCTTAGAGCTGTTGCTGGCTACAACCCCAAATTTAGTGCCTATATTAAATCCTTAATTGTGTGGTCTAAATGTTTACCTGAAGTTTACCTGGAGAGAGTTCCGGGGGTCAACGCCCCCGCGGCCCGGTCTGTGACCAGGCCTCCTTGTAAATGTAATCATAGTTTTATCTAAAATTGTTTAAAATCTTCCTGTGTGTGTTGATGATTAATAATAATTGTAATAATAATAATAAGAATACAGTAGAACTTACTGCACATACACTATTACAATATCATATAATTTATATATATATTTACAAGCTTAAATGTAAAAGGTGTTTCCAGATAGTTTCCTCCAGAAATTTTTAATCTGGAATTAAACACTAAACTTTGCTCACATTTTATATACAGTACTGTATTTCAATGTTCTGTGAAGAACAAAAAATGGAAATAAATGAAGACTGTTCCTCAGTAGATTTCAGGAATTACTTATAGTTTGAACTGTAAGATCTAATAAGATTTGTTTGGATTTTTAATCCAAAGGGTTAGCCATCCAGGATAACCCAAAAAAATCAGTGGGTCATTGGGGACTATCTGGTCTTACTTTTGATTGGGGTCCTTCAATCTTGTCTCCCAGGATGCGATGCACACCAATTGACTAACACCCAGATACCTACTTACCGCTACCAGATACCTACTTACCGCTAGATGAACAGGGACAGCAGGTGTAAGGAAACATGAGCAGTGTTTCCACCCATGCTGGGAACCTTATTTAGTTGGCTTTACATTTGAGATACTGTACTGTATTATTTTCTTGTGTAAACCCTCCTAACACAACCGAAAATACCCTAACATAACTTAACCTTACTCTTCCATTGGCTACTGACTGGCTCTGATATGCCAGTCTTGCTAAAAAAAGTTATTGTTTTTGCTATCTCCCAAAATAACAACTTGCCAGAGAAATAAGTATTCTGTTATGAAGCTAGCTCGTATATATCGTAAAATATAAAATAACGTCTTGCTTTTCACCAAAGAGCAGCCTTCAGTTATAACTAAAATCTCCTCTGCACATCCAAGGTTAAATGAGCCTGTCAAATGTAGGCAAGGTTTGAGGTAAACTCAGATGTTAAGTGGAAACATGAAAAAAGATACTTATGTACATTTCCTCTAATAAATGTCCTGAACTGTACTTAAGTGTCTTTTTTCACATCTTGTCGGTATCACCATACCATTTTTCAAGTGGAGATATATGGCACAAAGCCAACAAGTGGTGAAAAATTCAAATGCAGAGGATCTTTACCAAGTTGTGTGTGTGTTTTTCACTATCATGTATGATCCTAAACCAGTTACATACACAACTGTTAGTCAAGGTTAATTATGTATACACATAGGTATACACCCATGGCCTGGTAGACAACGCTCTCGCCTCACACACTGAGCGTCAGTGGTTCAATACCCGGCTGGGTAGAAACACTGAGCGTATTTCCTCACACCTGCTGTCCCAGTTCATCTAGCAGTAAGTAGATAACTGGGTGTTAGATAACTATTGTGGGTGGCATCCTGGGAGGACATGACTGAAGGACTCCAATGGAAATAAGACAGACAGTCCTTGATGATCCACCGACTTCCTTGGGTTATCCTGGGTGGCTAACCCTCTGGGTTAAAAATCCTAACAAAATCTTACCTCCTATTCCTTTACATCAGTGATAAGGCAACAATCACTGCCTTATCAGTGATACATACAGCAGTGACCATAACAAAAGTCTGGTGGCTAAAGCTCCCGCTTCACACACGGAGGGCCCGGGTTCGATTCCCGGCGGGTGGAAACATTTCGACACGTTTCCTTACACCTGTTGTCCTGTTCACCTAGCAGCAAATAGGTACCTGGGTGTTAGTCGACTGGTGTGGGTCGCATCCTGGGGGACAAGATTAAGGACCCCAATGGAAATAAGTTAGACAGTCATCAATGACGCACTGACTTTCTTGGGTTATCCTGGGTGGCTAACCCTCCGGGGTTAAAAATCCAAACGAAATCTTATCTTCTATTTCATCAAAAACAATCTAGCAGACAGCTTAGACCTGGAGTCAACCATCAGGATAACAAAACTCAAGTGGATCTATGGCCAGACCTGTGCAGTCACGACCTCCATAATTAAGCCACTGGTGTTATGTCTGATGAGGAGGGACTTACGGCTTTCCTTTGTGAACCAATCTAGACATGACTGAGGTGGAGGAGTCAAGAAAGTCGAGGTGCAACACGTAAGCTTGACCTGCTTCACTGCTGCTCTTGTAGTTACTCACGATATTTTAAGTGTCTTTGGTGAACGAGCGGGATGTGTGTGTGCAGGTATCTGAGCTTAAAAGATGTCTGTACATAGTTTTTTTGAGTAAATTTGTCAGCCACTCGGGATTCAATCAAGTCCTTGTTGTTGTTGTTCTTATTGTAGTTAAGGGTCATCGTAGTGTAAGTTGTATTACTTCCTAACTCTCGGTGTCTTAGGAAATAGTAAGGAAGAAATGGTGCTTATGTCTGACATAGAATAAGAAAAGAGGACAAATGTTCATAAATAAAAAAAAAAATGTGAACTTGGGCACAAGAGACCCAGTCCTCACTAGTACTGGTGACCGGTTTGTTGAATAAGCCGTTGTCTCAACACCAGACAAAAGGAACTTGTGTTTGGCGTCAAAATTACTGTAGAAACAGCAAGTAAAGAGATAAACAAGTTTCATAGAAAAGTAAAAGATAAGATAGGGAGATTATGTCAAGTATTGAGCAAGCCAGAATGAGACCTCAAGTGATGAGGTAAAGAATCTCTGCTAACTGTGAGGTCTGACGATCAATGAAAACGGTTCGTGAAATATTATTTCGGGTACACTTCTCTAGTTTCTCCTTTTAATGGGTTCGGTATTACCCGTACACTAATAACAATTTTTTTTCTGATTACATTAATTACAAATACTGTCATCACGATTTCGCGAGTCATTAATAGATGCTATTATGTTATATTTAAACTGTTCAGCACTGTAACTTGTGGGTTTAGCGCTTAGTTTTGATGATGATAATAATAATTCTCCATGGGGAAGTGGAACAGAATTCTTCCTCCGTAAGCCATGCGTGTCCTAAGAGGCGACTAAAATGCCGAGAGCAAGGGGCTAGTAACCCCTTCTCCCGTATAAATTACTAAATTTAAAAGAGAAACTTTCGTTTTTCTTTTTGGGCCACCCTGCCTTGGTGGGATATGGCCGGTGTGTTGAATGAAAGAATAATAATAATAATAAAGCATGTGCTAAGCCCGTATGGGCTATATTCACAAACTGCCAGTCTTCAAGCTGGCACTGGACAAGCACCTAAAGTCGGTACCTGACCAGCCAGGCTGTGGCTCGTACGTTGGTTTGCGTGCATCCAGCAGTAACAGCCTGGTTGTTCAGGCTCTGATCCACCAGGAGGCCTGGTCACAGACCGGGCCGCGGGGGCGTTGACCCCCGGAACTCTCTTCAGGTAAACTCCAAGTAATTGACTACTGATGATACATTGCATTTTTTTGCACTTACAACCCATATATAACCTTGTTAGACTTATAAGGCTGAGATATCTCAGCCTTATAAGTCTTCTACAGTTCTGTTATTTTTACAGGTCTTTGATAATGTGAAAAATCATGAAAAGACTTGGAATTCCACTATTTTTTCACATTGGTTATTTTGCATTTTGTGATATCACCTGTTTACTATGATTTTATTGTATTATTATAGATATATATCAGTAACAAATGCTGAACCTAGGGCAAGTGAACAAAGCCAATAAGATCATTTATTTCTATTGGCCTCCATACATTTTTTATTTTGTGTGTGTGTGCCATTTGTATGTTCAATAAATAGTGTTACTGTAAACTGTACTTTTGGATATGTAATACAAAATAAAAGTGCAGCTGAAATTACAAAACATTTAAGCTCTTGGTATAACTCAGAAAAACTATGTACTATAAATTAAATCTAGGAATTTTTTTTTTTTACTTATGTTATGTTCCAGTCTATACTTAAAATGTTGCCTTCACACAATACAGTAAATATGAATACTGTTGTATTTATCTTGTAACTCTTTTTACACATATGTTGGCTTTATTTGTTTATCTTTTGGTGATAAGAAATTTTTCATTTCAGACAAGTCACCACCTTGATGTTCCATTGTCTGCAATACCTCATACTACAGTCATAAACCAACCCATTCCTGTCTTGAGACTATCACTCATCTCTGGCCACACACAGCCTCTTGGCCCAGTACAGGAGAATTTAGGAGATGTGAATGAGGGCCTGCTGGTATTGGGAGGTGAGGTAGTAAGTGTACTAATTAATGTGATGATCTCTGAAGCCTCTACCATTACAGCTGTTCCATACTGGTTTCACATTCGAGGTAAACTCCCACTAAAAGCTTCAATGTCATCAAAGTTATCCTCAGGATCCAACTCTGAACCATCTGCTTCAATACAGACAAGTCATACTACAACTCCACCTAACTGTGACACAGTTGTTTTATCAACTAAAGAACCAGACTCTCCATGCAACCAAAGTCTGTTTATTTTAAGTAAACCTTTAGAAGTTTTAGAGGGTAAAAATGTTAACTTAGATGTTGTCTGGAGAGAAGGGGCATTTAATGCAACAGTAGAATCAGCAGCAGATTAAGGTTAATGATTATGCTTTATTTCTCATGAGTGCAGGTTTTTACTGCACTATGTATATTTTCATTGCATTTCCTTTATATTGTACAATGTAGACTAATTATTGCTCGTTTTATGTATAGAAAAACCAGTTAATTCCCAAATGTACAATTATAAATTCATCTACATTACTGTATTAGTATATATGTAAGTGCATTGTGATGGTTGAACATTTATAGTGTTAAATAAAGGTAAACTTTGAAATTACTGTATATTTTAATTCCTTAAATACATTGAGAATGGTTTTTTGAAGTATGTTAACAGGTGAGCAGAGTATTTTAATGATTACATATACAATACTAATAATTTTTTTAATTGAAACAAAGAGATAATTTTTAAACATTTTCTCATTAATAATTCATACAGTGTAACACTGAGAGAAAAAATACCTAAAAAATACAAAATGTTGAATAGTATATTTAAAAGCATATTGAGAGGACAGTCTGTTGACTGGTACGATATATAATAAAAGTTAATAATAATACAGCCGGGAGCAAGGGGCTAGTAACCCCTTCTCCCGTATAAATTACTAAATTTAAAAGAGAAACTTTCGTTATTCTTTTTGGGCCACCCTGCCTTGGTGGGATACGGCCGGTGTGTTGAAAGAAAGAAAGAATAATAATACAGTAGCAGAAAAATATAAATGGCATAATAATATGAACTACTTGTATGTATATAAAATTAATGATATTTGCACAACAATACCAATGATAAAAAATAGCAATGAGAAAACATTACATATTTACAGAAAGGAAAATGTGTAGACAAAGAAAACAGAGCAAAGAGTTAAGTGGAACAGATATATTAGTGTTACTCAAGTCAAAGTCGCTACGATCCCCAATGAAGCATTTTACGTTATTAAGTTACCTCTCATCATTTGTCACATTAAATTAAAAAATATTTAATATTACCCAAACATTCACTAAAACTCTGTGGTTTATTTTTTTTTTATTATTATCACACTGGCCGATTCCCACCAAGGCAGGGTGGCCCGAAAAAGAAAAACTTTCACCATCATTCACTCCATCACTGTCTTGCCAGAAGGGTGCTTTACACTACAGTTTTTAAACTGCAACATTAACACCCCTCCTTCAGAGTGCAGGCACTGTACTTCCCATCTCCAGGACTCAAGTTCGGCCTGCCGGTTTCCCTGAACCCCTTCATAAATGTTACTTTGCTCACACTCCAACAGCACGTCAAGTATTAAAAACCATTTGTCTCCATTCACTCCTATCAAACACGCTCATGCATACCTGCTGGAAGTCCAAGCCCTCGCACACAAAACCTCCTTTACCCTCTCTCTCTCTGTGGTTTATATAGGAGTAATACAATTCTATATAAAACTTTACATATGGAAAATTTTCTTAAAACTTATCTTGTTTACTTTAGTACACTGTTCATTCATTATTTAATACCAGCTATCATCATATAGGTAGTAGGTTGGTAGACAGCAACCGCCCAGGGAGGTACTACCGTCCTGCCAAGTGAGTGTACAACGAAAGCCTGTAATTGTTTTACATGATGGTAGGATTGCTGGTGTCCTTTTTTCTGTCTCATAAATATGCAAGGTTTCAGGTACGTCTCGCTACTTCTACTTACACTTAGGTCACACTACACATACATGTACAAGCATATATATACACACCCCTCTGGGTTTTCTTCTATTTTCTTTCTAGTTCTTATTCTTGTTTATTTCCTCTTATCTCCATGGGGAAATGGAATAGAATTCTTCCTCCGTAAGCCATGCGTGTTGTAAGAGGCGACTAAAATGCCGGGAGCAAGGGGCTAGTAACCTCTTCTCCTGTATATATTACTAAATGTAAAAGGAGAAACTTTCGTTTTTCCTTTTGGGCCACCCCGCCTCGGTGGGATACAGCTGGTGTGTTGAAAGAAAGAAAGAAAGAAAGAAAGCTATCATCATGGGTGGATCCAGGGAAATGGGGGCCGGGCAAGCCATGGCTCTCCTTCCCCTTCCTCTAGGCCACTTGAAAGACTTTTCTGAAAAAAAAAAAATCTGCCTGGTCTCAGACCGGGCTGCAGGGGGGGGGCGCTGACCCCCAAAACCATCTCCTGATATACTCCAGATATATAAATTTTTCATTTTAAATTACTGTATATCTTTCTTTTGTAAACAAAAAAAATTCAAATATATTTGTATAAAGTTAAAATTTTCTGATTTTGAATTTATATTCTTACAAAACATTAATACCAAGTCAACATTCCATTACATAAGAAACATTGATGTTCATATCATACACTCAATATGAGTGAATATTTTAGTATGGGACCATTTTATCCTCAGGTTTTTGCTTTTTATTTAAAGCTGATTTAAAGACAGCCTGTGTACCATTTTGAAAATTCTAGCTGTTATTAACCAAGCTGATCCAACACTTATAAAGATGAGAACAGAGTCATAACTTATTTCAAACACAGCTAAGAATATGATTCAATATTTAAATATTTGGCTCCATATTGATCTTCAGGTACACCACTGTTGATATCCTCTATTTAGCACAGCAGCACAAAAAGGATTTCCTAGATAATACAGTAACAATCTTAAAAGTTTCATGTCCTAAAACGTCTCATTCCCTTCTTGGTGAACTTGCTACTCCGCTTTGAGTCTTTGGCTTGTTCTGGGGGCTTCATGCAATGATGAAGGGAAGAATGTAGTGCTTCAGCATTTCGACTATTGCCCAGGATGTCTGTCAAAGCCTCTTTAGATAACGACATCAAATCAACCAGACTTACTACTTTGTTCAGCAATGTATATATATTCTTCGTGTTGACTCCGGGCAGCTTAGACACAAAGTCCTGAAAAACAAACAAACTTGACTCTTATTTTGATCAATAATGAAAATAGTCTAGATGGGATGTTTTTTGAGTTTTAGAAATGCTGTATTTTGAAAGATTATGCCAGAAAAATCCATAACTGTCTCACCTGGAAGTTGGACCTTATCCTAATACACCTACCATCCAACTTATGACCGAGTTCGGTTCCGAGAAACCGGTTGTAAGTCGAACTTTACTACTGAATATCAACAAAACATTTTTGTAATGATTTTATTTTATTGTTTTATTTTGGTATTTCATGTTTTACTTTACTTTTTATGCTGTTAGTACTGTATTTTATACTGTAAGGTTTAGGATAAACACTTTGTACAACACAAATAGTTGTTTATTTCCCAGAAATTTGGCATAAAAAACACGGTCGTAAGTCGAGTGGTCGTAAGTCGGATGGTAGGTGTACTTCTCGCAACACTTCATATAATAAATATATACTTCTTCAACATATTTATGTTAAGTACAATACACTTGATTTTTAGTTCTAACTACATTATACTTTACTGCAGCTCAAATTTAGTGATATAATTGGTATATGATGTTTTTTTACACTACACTTTCGTTCTTTATCTTTGAAGCACCTACTAACCCTAACATCATCCTTACCCAAACCACTACTACAGTTATGTAATTTTAAATAGGATCATTTCCTTTGGGACAGGTCTCTTGGTGACTCATAGGACATGTTAAGTGCTATTTTTCCTTCTATTCCTGGCCCCGACCTCCTTAGTAAGCCTGTGCCTACTAAGGGGGCCAGGTCTAAGCCTTTTTATAGTTTTATAAATTAGCCAAGATTATAGCTGCATGACCCTTACAGGTTTAGTGCTTCCCCATAATGAAACAATAATGAGTGTAATACAGACATTGTAAAAATATTACTGTACTGTTTAAATTATGTCCACACTATCCCAGTAATGCTTTTATAAATGAAAAATTAAATTAATTTACATTAAAAAATGGAATCCTATTTACCTTTATCTGGGGATTGAACTTGTCAGAATCTATATCTGGGTTGGTTTCAGCTGTGACTGCCTGAGCTTGAGCCACAACTGGTTCAGGTTTGCCATTCTGCAATTTGTGTAAAACTAGGTATTAAGAGGCAAGGCTTGTTTAATTTTATAAAACCTATTAAGTAAAACAAAATATTTTAAAATGTTCAGCCATATCTCTTAATCACCTATACAATAAAATTAAACATTACTAACTTTACTGACCCCTATTCTTACAACTTAAATCACCTCCATGCTGTATGACCTATTCATGTTTGGAACTTGCATTAAAATATAACAATACAGCCTCTCCTCACGTAGCAACGTACTCGTTTACTGACGACTTGGACTTACGATGGGCTCTCTGACCAGTATGCATACCTAAATAATATATATTAGAGCTGATTTCCTCTATTCTGTTTATTACGATATAGTATACAGTACACTACTGTATAAACATTTAAAAATATACCAGAAATGTTATAAATGGTGCAAAGGTGACATTAAAACAATATGATGGTTGACACAAACCCACTAAAATTATAGTATACTCCTTACTTGGCAATGAATTTGTTTACTGACATAGTCTTAGGGATAGAACTCCGTCGTGTCGTTAAATGAGGAGAGGCTGTAATAATAATAATTTCCATGGGAAAGTGGAATAGAATTCTTCCTCTGTAAGCCATACATGTTGTATGGCTTACCCTACCTCAGTGGGAGATAGCCAGCGTTAAAAAAAATTAATTTGTTAATGTTTTAATACTTACTTTGAGCATTTCAAATATTTCTGCAGTAGCATACGGAGAAGGACACCAAAGCAGTCGCAGATGAGGGAAATGAAGTGTCAGTAACTGCAATTTGGCAGCAACATCCTTTGCTGAAGAGGAACCATCACTTGACAAGTAGTACCGGCCCTGAGCCACAAAGTATACTGCCCGTTATTCACTTACATGGACAAGACACTCATATCTGAATCTAAACTTCACATTATGTGTTTCACTAAAGTAATCTCCAGTGTAAAGTGGGCTTGGATAAAGCATGAGCTGTGAATGAGTGTGATTATGCTTGCAAATTACAGTACAGTATAGATCTTTCAACGCACCAGCCATTTCCCACTGAGGTGGGGTGGCCCAAAAGGAAAAACAAAAGTTTCGCCTTTTAAATTTAGTAATACGTACAGTGGACCCTCAACCAACGATGGCATTGATTAACGATAAATCCGACTAGCGATACATTTTAACGCAAAAGTTTTGCCACGACTAGCGCTAAAAAACTCGACCAGCGCTAAAAAACTCGACCAACACTATTCGTTCCGTCTGAGACGCGTCCACTTCTGGCCAGTGTTTACAAGCCAGCCAGCCAGCCAGCCACCGCGGTTGCTTCCAAGCATACAATCAGAACATTTCATATTATCACAGCCTTTTTAGTGATTGCACCTGCAAAATAAGTCACCATGGGCCCCAAGAAAGCTTCTAGTGCCAACCCTACAGCAAAAAGGGCGAGAATTACTATGGATATGAAGAAAGAGATCATTGCTAAGTACACAAAACCCCAGTCAAACCATCGCTACTATTGTGGCCAAGAAAACGGCAATCAAGGAAGCTGTTCTTGCCAAAGGTGCAACTATGTTTTCGAAACTGAGATCGCAAGTGATAGAAGATGTTGAGAGACTGTTATTGGTGTGGACAAATGAAAAACAGATAGCAGGAGATAGCATCTTTCAAGCGATCATATGTGAAAAGGCTAGGAAATTGCACGAGGATTTAATTAGAAAAATGCCAGCAACTAGTGGCAATGTGAGTGAATTTAAGGCCAGCAAAGGTTGGTTTGAGAGATTTAAGAATCGTAGTGGCATACATAGTGTGATAAGGCATGGTGAGGCTGCCAGTTTGGACCAAAAAGCAGCTGAAAATTATGTGCAGGAATTCAAGGAGTACATAGACAGTGAAGAATTGAAACCTGAACAAGTGTTTAATTGTGACACTGACAATGTTGTGAAACACTTGAGGAATGTCATAAAGGAACGGGAGGTACAGGCCTCTATGGACAGATATGTTGTGCGACAGATAGTCCAGTGACTCTCAAGCTGGTCCTAGTGGCATTAAAAGAAGAAGGGAAGTAACCCCGAAAAAGGACTTGCCACCTCAAGTCCTAATGGAAGGGGATTCCCCTTCTAAACACTAACACCATCAACACTCTCCCCTCCTCCCATCCCATCAATCATCACCAGATCTTCAATAAAGGTAAGTGTCATGTAACTGTGCATGTCTTCTTCAGTTTGTGTATTAAAATTAATATTTCATGTGGTAAAATTTTTTTTTCAATACTTTTGGGTGTCTTGCACGGATTAATTTGATTTCCATTATTTCTTATGGGGAAAATTAACTCGACTAACGATAATTTCGATTAACGATGAGCTCTCAGGAACGGATTAATATCGCTGGTCGAGGGTCCACTGTATATACAGGAGAAGGGGTTACTAGCTCCTTGCTCCTGGCATTTTAGTCGCCTCTTACGACACGCATGGCTTACGGAGGAAGAATTCTGTTCCACTTCCCCATGGAGATACAGTATAGATATTTAGAAAAAATATGTAGTTAATGGAGATATAGGATTTTGTTTATAATTCAGTCATCTACAATCTCAATATTCTTAAGTTTCAAAGATCCAGCAAAACAGTTCAAAATATGGAAGAGTTAATTTGCAGTTTTTGTTTTGTATTAAGCAGTTAAGTGAAAGTTTGAACGAGGATTTAACTACTCGGCATCACATATGTCAACACTTTTGTTATTCTCCAGATTAAACTTGATATATATTTCATATTCAGTTACTTTCCACATTAAAGAATGATTCTTCTCAGAGAGTTAAAGTAACTGGAAATTAAAATTATGTACAGTGGAGCCCCGCATAACGATTACCTCTGAATGTGACCAATTACAGTATGTAAGTGTATTTATGTAAGTGCGTTTGTACGTGTATGTTTGAGGGTCTGAAATGGACTAATCTACTTCGCAATATTTCTTATGGGAACAAATTCGGTCAGTACTGGCACCTGAACATACTTCTGGAGTGAAAAAATATCGTTAACCGGGGGTCCACTGTATAATATAAATTATTACTGTAATAGAAAATGGCATAAAGACTTATTCAGACAAGGGAGACTCTTATTAGGAATGTTTCAACACAACTTACTTGTAAATGAAATGGCTTATTCTGGTCAAATTCAATAAGCAGAATAGGCTGTTTGTAATATCTGGTCATGGCCTGAGCTTGATTATAAAGACGACCAGAGTTCAAGGATCCAATTAAATCACTGAGGCTCTTTCGTTCTACACAAACGTCAGGAGTCAGGATGTAATCACCAACCTAAAAAACAAAAATTATACATCTGTGAACTTTATATTATAAGATTAATTTTAATCACAAGATTAAAAAAAAGATTTGGAAGGCAAACTTAGAAAAAGAAGCAAATTAAAACATATGGTTTTTTGTTAACAATTTAATGAAGACCAGACACTAATTGTGAATAACTGTTTTTTTTTCATTACAATTACATCAATCCCCCATGAATCAACAGATAACTTTTTTTTTTTTACCACCGACCATTTTACACCAAGCCAGAAAAAGAAAGATACATTTCAGCAAAAAATCATTGCTAAGTAAAATACATGTATATACTGTAATAAATGCTTATTTTCATACAGATTTCCATGTTATGATCAGAAATTAATTTCAGTTATAAAAAATTTTAGTAAATTTTTCCTATTAATTCCAAATCTTCAGAGCAAGAGTGAGAGAGAGGAAGAGAGAGAAAAAGAAAGGGAGAGGAAGAGACAGATAGTCAAGGCTAAGGATAATACGGTAGAAGGTTCTCTACCTGTTCTTCACTTCATCCAGCCACACTGCTGGCTAGAAAAAGTTGAAGCAAATCGTATAACACAGAAAAATTTTCAGGAATATTTAGCAGGAAATTTGGAAGCAGAGTTGGACTTCTACCGCTAGAAATGCTAGATACAAAAGTGTAATGCCAACAGCCATAGTTATGAATACACAATATGCTGAATAAACTATTATTATGACAATGTTTTGCTCTTTCTAGTTTGAAGAAGCTCTACCCTGAGTGAAACATTACCCCAATAAAAGATTGTCTTGCACATTGTGTCATACCTCTACTAGTAATATGACCACTGCTACTACCACCACTGCCTATTTCCACTTATGCCTCTAGTAATGCTATGTCCTTTGATGAACCACTGTCAACTCAAAATCCTGGGTAGTCTGTGAATTAACTAAAGGGTGTCAGGGACCACAGTTCTAGCTCTTGGATATTATCTAGTTAAATCCAATTTTTGCAAGTGCTGCTGATTCAAATAGTTCTTATAAGGCTGTATTAATTTTGCACTTTAACTTCAGTGGACAATCTGTCCCAGTGTTCTATTACAGTTACTACATTTTGTTGTTAGGTAAGAGAAAAATTAATGGTTGGTGAAACTGTTCCCTAGTGTATGCTTTGTTTTTCAAAATTAAATGGGTAATTAACATACCATACAGAATGCATCCCACTACTCAGCACCATTACGCAATGCTTATCATTAAAGAGTGCCAGGTGGAAGGTACCTGTCACATTTAAAAGTCCAAAGTGAAATCCTACCCTGGTAGGCGTTTTGGCACGACAAAAAGTTATGCTGGATTGGCAACCCGTAGGGGGATGGCTCAGAATTCTCTAAGGCTATTAGCTGTATTCTTAAGTGCCTTCTAGACTTCTGTGGTGGACGGATTTGTTTTCCTGGTTTCCCTTGGCAAGTTGTCCTGAGTACTGCGTTTGTCAGACATACATGTATGTATTTTGCTGTTGACGAATTAATATGGGCAGGACTAAGTTGCTGACTCATGACAGAGATGCACAGATCAATGGAGTACATATGGCAGGCCATCAAACGAAGGAAATAGTAGAAGACATCAATGTGTGTGAGTTTTCAGTGAGGACCTGGATGCATCAGTTCCTTGAGGACAGTCTTGATGACATGGCTCACATCAAAAGCATGTCCAAGGAAGCCTAGAAAAAATCCTCACTAATGTTAACTGTAATAATGTACCTAGAAATACTGTGATCATTTGCCTAAATCTTTCACTTAGTATGATGCAAAGATTTTATGCAAAATCTGTTGTTCAGTTGCTTTGTGACTGTGGAGTACCCTTCTTCGATGACTGGCCAGATAATTCCCCAGATTTGACATCCACTGCAAACCTCTGGGCTGTGATGAAGAGAGATCTACTAGGGCAAGGACATTATAACTCCCCTGCTCCCACAGCTGGAGGACACCATCCACAGTTGAAGGATGTCCTAAAGAGCAAGAGATGACTTGTGGTCATGGTTTGAGAGGGAAGCCATCATACTTTAATGACAATCAGTGTAATATGAAAGCCAAAATCCTAGTAAACTGAAATCAAGGACAGCATATGTTATTATATGAGAGCAATTAAACTATTACAAGTATTATATTTATGAAGAAGTTCTAAATAAATAGAGGTTATACAACACCTGAGAAAGGGAGATACGGTAATCAGGTTTGATCTACGTAGAGGGTATCTGTAATTCCTTTTATCAAAAGCCCTTCATTGGCATCAAGGCACCCACCTTGAAGGGAGCTAAACCACTGATCTTGTTGTAATTAAATACTAATTTGTTGAACCATACAAGTCCGCATCAGGTACTGTGCTTGACAGTTAGATCCAAGGTAACTTCGATATAGGTTATGCTTATGTATTGCAACTGTCTTTGGCTCCCACCATTATGCTTCACTAAGTAACATTACCCAAAAACAATTCATTCTCTAGAACATTCAATATGAAACTTTAATTAATTTAATTAAAGTTTAACCAGACATATTCTCCTTACAGTACAGCACTAAGTATGATGTGGCAAGATACTCCACTGATACCAACCTCTATGGTTACAGGATCAATATCTATACCCCTCTTGTGAATTAAAGCTGGGAGTTCACTTCGGAATTCTCTCATATCAACAATAATTCTCTGAGGCTCAGTTTGTTCACTTGTTTGTCCTCCCTTTCGTGTGTCATTACTGTTTTCCTGAGCATTAATTTCACTGGGTTTACGAGGATCACGACTGAGGTCTGGATGATCTTCAGATTTGCCATCATTATACTCAGGAATTACCATTGACTGTGGGGTTGAGTAAACTGTTAGTGTGCATATAAAATAAATCACGCAAAATAATGTACATACATATTTAGATAGTCATTTACATAGTCTTCTTCAATAATCTAATATTTATTCTTAAAATTATGGCAACATGGCCACATTACCTAGTATGTAATTTTCTCATAGCTATACTACTACTACTACTACTTCATCTCTCTCCTCCTCTGCTAAGGTTACTTACCGAATAGAAACCTTCGTCTGATGTCTATATCATTAATTTCACTCTGTGATAAACTAGGAATATTCAGTTACATATGTATGGTAGAGTTATTATTGAAAGAATTAAGAGTAAGATGGAGAATAGGATAGCAGATGAACAAGGAAGCTTTAGGAAAGGTAGGGGGTGTGTGGACCAGGTGTTTACAGTGAAACATATAAGTGAACAGTATTTAGATAAGGCTAAAGAAGTCTTTGTGGCATTTATGGATTTGGAAAAGGTGTATGACAGGGTGGATAGGGGGGCAATGTGGCAGATGTTGCAGGTGTATGGTGTAGGAGGTAGGTTACTGAAAGCAGTGAAGAGTTTTCACGAGGATAGTGAGGCTCAAGTTAGAGTATGTAGGAAAGAGGGAAATTATTTCCCAGTAAAAGTAGGCCTTAGACAAGGATATGTGATGTCACCGTGGTTGTTTAATATATTTATAGATGGGGTTGTAAGAGAAGTAAATGCGAGGGTCTTGGCAAGAGGCGTGGAGTTAAAAGATAAAGAATCACACATAAAGTGGGAGTTGTCACAGTTGCTCTTTGCTGATGACACTGTGCTCTTGGGATATTCTGAAGAGAAGTTGCAGAGATTTGTGGATGAATTTGGTGGGGTGTGCAAAAGAAGAAAATTAAAAGTGAATACAGGAAAGAGTAAGGTTATGAGGATAACAAAAAGATTAGGTGATGAAAGATTGGATATCGGATTGGAGGGAGAGAGTATGGAGGAGGTGAATGTATTCAGACATTTGGGAGTGGACATGTCAGCGGATGGGTCTATGAAAGATGAGGTGAATCATAGAATTGATGAGGGGAAAAGGGTGAGTGGTGCACTTAGGAGTCTGTGGAGACAAAGAACTTTGTCCTTGGAGGCAAAGAGGGGAATGTATGAGAGTATAGTTTTACCAACGCTCTTATATGGGTGTGAAGCATGGGTGATGAATGCTGCAGCGAGGAGAAGGCTGGAGGCAGTGGAGATGTCATGTCTGAGGGCAATGTGTGGTGTGAATATAATGCAGAGAATTCGTAGTTTGGAAGTTAGGAGGAGGTGAGGGGTTACCAAAACTGTTGTCCAGAGGGCTGAGGAAGGGTTGTTGAGGTGGTTCGGACATGTAGAGAGAATGGAGCGAAACAGAATGACTTCAAGAGTGTATCAGTCTGTAGTGGAAGGAAGGCGGGGTAGGGGTCGGCCTAGGAAAGGTTGGAGGGAGGGGGTAAAGGAGGTTTTGTGTGCGAGGGGCTTGGACTTCCAGCAGGCATGCGTGAGCGTGTTTGATAGGAGTGAATGGAGACAAATGGTTTTTAATACTTGACGTGCTGTTGAAGTGTGAGCAAAGTAACATTTATGAAGGGGTTCAGGGAAACCGGCAGGCCGGACTTGAGTCCTGGAGATGGAAGTACAGTGCCTGCACTCTGAAGGAGGGGTGTTAATGTTGCAGTTTAAAAACTGTAGTGTAAAGCACCCTTCTGGCAAGACAGTGATGGAGTGAATGATGGTGAAAGTTTTTCTTTTTCGGGCCACCCTGCCTTGGTGGGAATCAGCCAGTGTGATAATAAAAAAAAAAAAAATGTCAAATCATTAGTTGAATTTTTCACATAAAAATTTAATAAAACTGAGTCAACTAAAGTGATATGTAGATATACATTGATTAAGAATATATAGAGCTTCAGCAAAAGTTACATTTCTTTAATTAAGTTTTAAGGAGGGAGGGAGGGGGTAAGGGATGTTTTGTGTGCAAGGGGCTTGGACATACAGCAGGTATGTATGACCATGTTAGATAGGAGTGGAGATGAATGGTTCTTGGGACTTCACAAACTGTTGGAGTGTGAGCAGGGTAATATTTTGTGAAGGGATACAGGGAAATCGGTTAGCCAGACTTGAGTCCTGGAAGTGGGAAGTACAATGCCTGCACTTTAAAGGAAGGGTTTGATACATGTATTTGCTGTTGAGAGTGGCATCTAAACTGTCATATCCACTGGCAAGAGAGTGATAGTGTGAATGATGATGACAGCGTTTCTTTTTTGAGTCACACTGCCTCGATGGGAGACGGCCAGTATGTTAAAAAAAAAATTAATAAACTGTCATGTGTATTATATACACACACATTAACCTATAAATTTATGAATCTATACAGCATTAATTAAATAAATTACAACAAAGTTCCTCTACACAGCACAAAGGCATACCTCACTGAATATCAAAGGTCAGCATCAAGATCTAAAAATATTATGGGGACACCAATCAAGGAGTACACATATTAAATCTACACAGAAAATCAAAAGTTGCTCTGAGACTGACAACTACACTCAATTGTCCTTTAATTAGAGGAGAGGGGAGGAAGCAATAATAATAATAATAATAAAAAAAAAAAAAAAAAAAAAACCCTACATGCAGAACAAATGGATTCCATCACCAAAAATAGAAGGCAACACCTGAAAAAAGCAGCAGAGATGTTTATAATATGTGTATATTCTAGCACCAGTACTTACAGATTTCTCCTTGATTAAGTACTCAAAGGCATCCTTTTCTCTCTTCACATTGGTAAGATAAACCTGCTCTTCAGTAGTGCCTTTGTACACGAGGAAATACACACGTATTCTCTCCCCATAATTTGCTTGCCACACCTGTATGAGAAACTTTATAAATATGCAACAAAAATTTTTAGCTATGTTCTCTTAGCTGTGTACAGTATAGTATTACTCAGGGGGAGGAGGAGGGGGGAATAGGGGATTTGGGGAGATTGTAGAAAATATTCCTTTCATATGCCTTCACTCAAAGTGTCATTCATTCTAAAAATGCTGTGTTGCATGAGAATAGGAGTGTTGCTGTTATTTATTCTACTGAACCAATGCAAAGACAACTTGTACACAATGTAAGGTGTTTGTATTGTGGGGTAAAAGCTTCACAAATGCAGGCATAATGCAAAATGAATGTGTATGAGCAGCAACTGGATAGGTATCAACCCTTTCAGTGTCGCAACCCCTACTCACAAACTTGCTCCCAGGGTCAAAGAAGTTTCAACAAAAAAAAAAAAATGATCTTATGAAATGATAGAGAATCTTTTTCCAAAGGTAATGAAACCAAAAGTACAAAATTTGATGGAAAATTTATGGAATTATGCTCTTGCAAATTTAATGGTATCGGCGATATTTATGCATTGGCAATTTCGCTCACTTTATGCTCTATTTTTGGCTAATTCCAGTGTTCCAGTAAACCAAACTCAAAGCTATTTCACTAGCATTCCCTCTTTACCTATTTCAATTACCCAATAAAGTGATCAGAAATTAGTAACTTGGACAATTTCACACAAAATTCAACAATTACCAATTTGAATATAGGTCCAGAAAAACTATGTAGACATTCTTGGCAATAAATAAACATTTCCTGTGCTCTTCAGTCATGTCTCCAGGCCCCTCTTATATTATGCTTCCTTTTCATTTTGAAATTTTTATTCATACAAAAAATAGAAAACTTACTTTTATGCAGACTATTTCATTATTGTAATAATTGCATAAATAATGTCAGTGCATTCCTAAATGCATATTAGACTGGCCAGCTGGACGTGTATTGGACAAATAACGTCATTTGTGTACTCTGGAATATTGGCAAAAATAAAATATTTCTGCTACTTTGAGCTCAATTTCAGTCCTGAAACTAATCAAAATCATCTCTATTTCTGTAATATATCTTCCATTCTATCAAATAAGACCAAGAAACTGAGAATACAATCATAAAAACCATACAAAAATACAGCATAGTCACTGTTTTAAACCAAAAACAGGGTTGCATTTTTTCATTACGCACTGAGCGCTGCAGGATTTTTTTTATACAATGCACACTTACCATATTGACCCATTCTCTCATATCTAGGCCCAAATTTACCACTCACAGCTTATCTGAGTGAGCTGAGCTCATGGCGTCATACTATGGGAGCAACACTGGCTTCAAAAACACGATACAACAGGACCAACACTGAGAGGGTTAATCTGCTTATATGTACAGTACCAGGGACAATATATGAAAGTGCATACCTGATCAATTAAATAATTGTAAACAATGTAAAAATGCTCACTTCACCTCCAGCTGTCGAACAAAAGTTAAGTCCGAGTCATAGATGACGACATATTTGGGCTGAATCTCTTCTAGTAATCGTGTCATCATGAACGGGTCACTAGTATCCTGAAAGAAATTAATTTTTACACCTTTTGATTCCAGCCTCTCACCCTTTAAAATACATTGAAGAACCTGTGAAACAAGTGAACCCAGTCATTAGTATCCCAGTTGCATTAGCTACTTCAAAAGCCACTCTACATTTATATTTATTCATTTTCATTTTTTCTTAACACACCAGCTATCTCCCACTGAGGCAGGGTAACCCAAACAAGAGGAAAAACATCCACCATCATCCATTCAATTGCTGCCTTGCCAGAAGCATGCTAGCATCACAGATTAGTTGGCCCTCCAAACATCCTCTTCCCTCCAGAGTGCTGTCACTGTACTTTCCACCTCTCAATGGGTGTAAAAAATACAAAAAACATGAACACTATAATTAAACTGCCAGATTTTGGTATGGTTTCCAATCCTCACCTTTTTTAATTTCTTTAACCCTTAAACTGTCCAAGCAGATCTACGTTCATATGCGTAGTGCTCCAAAAGTAGATCTACGTTTTTTTACATATTTTCAAATATAACAAAAAAAAAAAAAGGTAGATCAAAGTTTTTTACACGTTTTCAAATGTAAAAAAAAAGAAAAGATCTACTTTTTTACATACTTTCAAATGTTGAAAAAACGTAGTCTACGTTTGGACAGTTTAAGGGTTAAGGGGTGTTATAAATTTAATAATTTAACCTGCTCAATTGTAATTTCATTATGAGAACATCTACGACCATGTTTTATATGACAAACCTTAATATTTAATACTGAGTTAACAAGACAGACAGACACACAGACAGACACACAGACACACACACACACACACACACACACACACACACACACACACACACACACACACACACACACACACACACACACACACACACACATTGTGAACGACATGACAGAAGGAATAGACTCCGAAGTGTCCCTGTTTGCAGATGACGTGAAGTTGATGAGAAGACTTCATTCGATCGAAGACCAGGCAGAACTACAAAGGGCTCTGGACAGGCTGCAGACCTGGTCCAGTAACTGGCTCCTGGAGTTCAACCTCACCAAGTGCAAAGTCATGAAGATTGGGGAAGAGCAAAGAAGACCGCAGACGGAATACAGTCTAGGGGGCCAGAGACTACAAACCTCACTCAAGAAAAAAGATCTTGGGGTGAGTATAACACCAGGCACATCTCCTGAAGCGCACATCAACCAAATAACTGCTCCAGCATATGGGCGCCTAGCAAACCTCAGAACAGCATTCCGACATCTTAATAAGGAATCGTTCAGGACCCTGAACACAGTGTACGTTAGGCCCATATTGGAGTATGCGGCACCAGCTTGGAACCCACACCTAGCCAAGCACGTAAAGAAACTAAAGAAAGTGCAAAGGTTTGCAACAAGACTAGTCCCAGAGCTAAGAGGTATGTCCTACGAGGAGAGGTTAAGGGAAATCGACCTGACGACACTGGAGGACAGGAGAGATAGGGGGGACATAACGACATACAAAATACTGAGAAAAATTGACAAGGTGGGCAAAGATAGGATGTTCCAGAGATGGGACACAGTAACAAGGGGACACAGTTGGAAATTGAAGACACAGATGAATCACAGGAATGTTAGGAAGTATTTCTTCAGCCACAGAGTAGTCAGGAAGTGGAATAGTTTGGGAAGCAATGTAGTGGAGGCAGGATCCATACATAGCTTTAAGCAGAGGTATGATAAAGCTCACGGTTCAGGGAGAGCGACCTAGTAGCGACCAGTGAAGAGGCGGGGCCAGGAGCTCGGATTCGACCCCTGCAACCTCAACTAGGTGAGTACACACACACACACACACACACACACACACACACACACACACACACACACACACACACACACACACACACACAAGGTGGACAGAGATAGGATGTTCCAGAGAGGGGACACAGAAACAAAGGGTCACAACTGGAAGCTGAAGACTCAGACGAGTCACAGGGACGTTAGGAAGTATTTCTTCAGTCATAGTCGTCAGGAAGTGGAATAGCCTAGCAAGTGAAGTAGTGGAGGCAGGAACCATACATAGTTTTAAGAAGAGGTATGACAAAGCTCAGGAAGCAGAGAGGGAGAGGACCTAGTAGTGATCAGTGAAGAGGTGGGGCCAGGAGCTGAGTCTCGACCCCTGCAACCACAATTAGGTGAGTACACACACACACACACACACACACACACACACACACACACACACACACACACACACACACTCTCACTCTCACTCTCACTCTCACACTCACACTCACACTCTCACTCTCACTCTCACTCTCACTCACACTCACACTCACACTCACACTCACACTCACACTCACACTCTCACTCTCACTCTCACTCACACTCTCACTCTCACTCTCACTCACACTCACTCTCACTCACACTCACTCTCTCTCACTCACTCTCTCTCTTATATGGGTGTGAAGCATGGGTTGTAAGTACTGCAGCGAGGAGACGGTTGGAGGCAGTGGAGATGTCCTGTCTAAGGGCAATGTGTGGTGTAAATATTATGCAGAAAATTTGGAGTGTGGAAATTAGGAAAAGGTGTGGAGTTAATGAAAGTATTAGTCAGAGGGCTGAAGAGGGGTTGTTGAGGTGGTTTGGTCATTTAGAGAGAATGGATCAAAGTAGAATGACACAAAGAGCGTATAAATCTATAGGGAAAGGAAGGTGGGGTAGGGGTCGTCCTTGAAAAGGTTGGAGGGAGGGGGTAAAGGAGGTTTTGTGAGCGAGAGGCTTGGACTTCCAGCAAGCATGCATGAGCGTGCTAGACAGGAGTGAATGGAGACGAATGGTATATTTGGGACCTGACAAGCTGTTGGAGTGTGAGCAGGGAAATATTTAGTGAAGGGATTCAGGGAAACCGGTTATTTGTATATAGCCGGACTTGAGTCCTGGAAATGGAAAGTACAATGCCTGCACTTTAAAGGAGGGGTTTGGGATATTGGCAGTTTGGAGAGATATGTTGTATATCTTTATAGGTATATACTTCTAAACTGTTGTATTCTGATCACCTCTGCAAAAGCAGTGATTATGTGTGAGTGAGGTGACAGCGTTGAATGATGAAGAAAGTATTTTCTTTTTGGGGATTTTCTTTCTTTTTTGGGCCACTCTGCCTTGGTGGGATACAGCCGGTTTGTTGAAAAACAAAAAAAAAAATATATATATATATTATTCTTCTTTCAACGCACCGGCCGTATCCCACCGAGGCGGGGTGGCCCAAAAAGAAAAATGAAAGTTTCTCTTTTTAAATTTAGTAATTTATACAGGAGAAGGGGTTACTAGCCCCTTGCTCCCAGCATTTTAGTCACCTCTTACAACACGCATGGATTACGGAGGAAGAATTCTGTTCCACTCTCCCATGGAGATAACAGGAAATCAACAAGAACAAGAACTAGTAAGAAAATAGAAGAAAACCCAGAGGGGTATGTATATACAGTAAACCCTCGCCTAACGCTATTAATCCGTTCCTGAGAGCTCAACGTTAGGCGAAATTATCGTTAGGCGAATTAATTTTCCCCATAAGAAATAATGGAAATCAAATTAATCCGTTCCTGACACCCCAAAGTATGAACAAAAAAAAATTGTTACCACATGAAATATTAATTTTAATACACACAAACTGAAGAAGACATGCACAGTTACATGACACTTACCTTTATTGAAGATCTGGTGAAGATTGATGGGATGGGAGGAGGGGAGAGTGTTGATAGTGTTAGTGTTTAGAAGGGGAATTCCCTTCCATAAATTGAGGTGGCAAGTCCTTTTCCGGGGTTACTTCCCTTCTTCTTTTAATGCCACTAGGACCAGCTTGAGAGTCACTGGACCTTTGTCGCACAACATATCTATCCATAGAGGCCTGTACCTTCCGTTCCTTTATGACATTCCTAAAGTGTTTCACAACATTGTCAGAGTAATAGTCACCAACATGACTTGCAATAGCTGTGTGAGGGTGATTTTCATCAAAAAAGGTTTGCACTTTAAGCCACATTGCACACATTTCCTTAATCTTTGAAATAGGCAACTTCCTCAATTTCTCTATCCCCTCCTCCAAAGCAGTTTCCTCAGGTGTGGCCTCTTGCTGTTGAAGATGATCTAGCAGCTCATCAGTGGTTAGTTCTTCATTGTCCTCCTCCACCAACTCTTCCACATCCTCCCCACTAACCTTCAACCCCAAGGACTTCCCCAATGCCACAATGGATTCCTCAATTGGCATAGGATTCCCAGGGTTAGCCTCAAACCCTTCAAAATCCCTTTTGTCTACACATTCTGGCCACAGTTTCTTCCAAGCAGAGTTCAAGGTCCTCTTAGTCACTTCCTCCTAAGCCTTACCTATAATGTTTACACAATTGAGGATGCTAAAGTGATCTCTCCAAAACTCTCTTAGAGTCAATTGAGTTTCTGAGGTCATTATAAAGCACCTTTCAAACATAGCTTTTGTGTACAGTTTCTTGAAGTTGGAAATGACCTGCTGGTCCATGGGCTGCAGAAGAGGAGTGGTATTAGGAGGCAAAAACTTGACCTTAATGAAGCTCATTTCCACAGAAAGTCGCTCTGCCATGTCTGAAGGATGACCAGGTGCATTGTCTAATACCAGGAGGCACTTAAGGTCTAATTTCTTCTCAATTAGGTAATTTTTTACAGTGGGGGCAAATGCATGGTGTAACCAGTCATAGAAAAAGTCCCTAGTGACCCATGCCTTACTGTTTGCCCTCCACAGCACACACAAATTAGCCTTGAGGACATTGTTTTTCCTGAACACTCTGGGAGTTTCAGAGTGATACACCAATAAAGGCTTCACTTTGCAATCACCACTAGCATTGGCACACATCAACAGAGTAAGCCTGTCTTTCATAGGCTTATGTCCTGGGAGTGCCTTTTCCTCCTGAGTAATGTACGTCCTGTTTGGCATTTTCTTCCAAAACAGGCCTGTTTCGTCACAATTAAACACTTGTTCAGGTTTCAGTCCTTCGCTGTCTATGTACTCCTTGAATTCCTGCACAAATTTTTCAGCTGCTTTGTGGTCCGAACTGGCAGCCTCACCATGCCTTATCACACTATGTATGCCACTACGATTCTTAAATCTCTCAAACCAACCTTTGCTGGCCTTACATCATCATCACATCATCACTAGTTGCAGGCATTTTTCAAATTAAATCATCATGCAACTACCTAGCCTTTTCACATATGATCGCTTGAGAGATGTTATCTCCTGCTATCTGTTTTTCGTTTATCCACAGCAATAACAGTCTCTCAACATCTTCTATCACTTGCGATCTCTGTTTCGAAAACAAAGTTGCACCTTTGGCAAGAACAGCTTCCTTGATTGCCATTTTCTTGGCCACAATAGTAGCGATGGTTGATTGGGGTTTTGTGTACAACCTGGCCAGCTCGGAGACACGCACTCCACTTTCATACTTAGCAATGATCTCTTTCTTCATATCCATAGTAATTCTCACTCTTTTTGCTGTAGGGTTGGCACTAGAAGCTTTCTTGGGGACCATGGTGACTTATTTTGCAGGTGCAATCACTAAAAAGGCTGTGATAATATGAAATGTTCCGATTGTATGCTTGGAAGCGACCGCGGTGGTTGGCTTGTAAACACTGGCACCCATGGAACAAGTGAGGCGGGCTCAGGCCGCACGTGGACGCGTCTCGAACGAATTGCGTTGAGCGAGTTTTTTAGCGCTAGCCGAGGCAAAATTTTTGCATTAAAATGTATCGCTAGGCGGATTTAACGTTATGCGATGCGTTCGTTAGGCAAGGGTACACTGTATATATATGCTTGTACATGTATGTGCAGTGTGACCTAAGTGTAAGAGGAAGTAGCAAGACATACCTGAAATCTTGCATGTTTATGAGACAGAAAAATGGACACCAGCAATCCTACCATCATGTAAAACAATTACAGGTTTTCGTTGTACACTCACTTGGCAGGATGGTAGTACCTCCCTGGGTGGTTGCTGTCTACCAACCTACTACCTATAGTACAAACATTAAATAAATGGCTGAAATCAAATAAAATTTCAACAAGTTACAGTACAATACTCATGAGCCTTACCCGAACAGCTTGTACCATTATCAGTGGGGATGACAAAAGCCTTTTTGATATTGCTCTTTCTTCCTCTCTTTCTTTGTCATCACTAAATTCCTCTTCTTCTTGGCCAATAAAGTAATATTTCTTAGCTATCTGCGTTAATGTAATATCTTCTATTTCTTCATTCATCGCTTTCTTCGTCTTTTTGCCTTTCTTACCTTTGTCTTTTTCTTCTCGCTCAGGAACCTCTTTGGCATTTTTTCTTTTTACATTAATTGAGCTTCCTGCTTCCCTGTTGATGTTTTTATTTCTGTTCATCTCTTTCAAGAAATTCTCAGGTGGTTTGAGGCCCATTTTTGCTCCGATTGTGTAGTAAAAGATTCTTCGAAGGACCACCTGAGCACCATCAACTAAATACTGAAAGAAGTGCATAGGTGAAGAGTTGAACAATGATAAGCTTACATGGGAATTTTAAAGTTCAGCTTGCTTTGATCTTGGATGACTATTAAAATATTTACAGTATAACATTAATCAGAAGTTAAGAACATAAGAAAGGAGGAACACAGCAACAGGCCTACTGGCCCATACTGAGCAGGTCCTTCTTCTCAAATCCAACCCACTAACAAAAAATATTTGCCCAACCCATTTTCAGTGCTACCCAAGCAATAAGCTTTGATAATAAAAGAAGTTTTCACTGATCTACTGATTTATGATTTCATTCCAAGAAAATAATAGAATAACCCAAGGCTCACAAAACTATATTTTGAGATTTATTCAGAAGACATAACTATGAACTATAAAACATGCTGCAACACTTGCCAATTTAATTAGAAAATTTAAAGAAATCCCTTAATCAGGTTTAATGACACAAAAAATAATAAACATGTATAGTAACATTAAAAATGGTGAAAAAGATGCCAATGCTAAAAAAGTCCTTTATTTGTATTGTGCAAAGTTTCACCCAACACTGAGATTTTTCAAGTACACAGCAGATAAGAGAGGCAGTGACTTCCATAGAGTCCTGGAATGATGTCTCATATGAAATGTCATGTTTTTAGGAGTGAGTAAAGTTACTAGTGTGTGGATTTGTGCACTGCAGTAAATAAGCTAAGGATGGGCCAGACAACAAAGAGCAGTACACAAATTCACTCATGAATAACTTTATTCACATCTAAGACAATGGCATCTCACATGAAACATTCCTCCCAGGGGACTACTATAAGCCATTGCCTCTTCAATCTGTACAAAGCTTGAAGAAGGCCATTGATGGGTAAAACTCCTCTGAATTTAAGTCTTTTTTACTAGACTGTTGGTATATTGCCATTGCCTAAACCACCATTTTATATTCATACCTCTTTAATCTGTTGTGCTGTCCGATCATCATAAGTTACTATCAGACATTTTTCCAAGTTCTTACTCTCTTGAACTTCTTTTCGGATTTCATCTAAAACCTCAGACAAAGCTATCCACTTTGGGTTTACTTCCAAATCTGGTTCTTTGTTATAGAAAAAATAAACATTATTGTAGAATGTTTATATTAAATGCATAAAATCCTTACTAAATTATATAAAACTGAAAGAAATTCAGCAAACCATTTGAATTCCAAAAAAAAAAATTCTGCATTCAGTATAGTTGTTTTTAATTGATTCTGTTTTATGGCTATAATACAGAAATAGTTTTTAACTGTTTGAAACAAACATTACCTTGATTTTAATAACTTGGGAATGGGCAGGATTTGAACTTATGGCATGCCAGTCTTAAAATTACCTAGCCAGTCCTTTCAGCAAAGTGGTGAGAGCACTGCCCTGCTAGTTTTAGGACTAGCTTGCCATGGGCTTGAATACTACCTGTTCCCCGAGTTAAAATACAGTAGAATCCCCGTATCCACTGATTTGGTATCCGCAGTTTCAGTTATCCACGGTTTACTGTGGCCCAAAAATACCTGTTTAATTTTGCATAATAATGGCCCCAAAGTGCAAAAGTAGAGAAGCTGGCAGTTCTTCAAAGCCTAAAAGAAGCCATGAAGTGCTTCCCATCAGTGAAAAAGTGATAATTCTTCATTGATTGTGCATAATTTATCAATTAAACTTTATAATAAGTATGTATATATAAGGTCTGTTACTATCTGCAGTTTTGGTATCCAAGGCATGTCCTTGGAAAGTATCCCCCACAGATACAGGGGTCCTACTGTATTCTTACTACGATTTTGGTGAGTCACTAATTTTAAAGGCTTAATCAAGCAAAAATAATAACATGTTAATTTTGGATCACTGCTTCTATACTAGAGATCATTATATATAATATTTTATAAGGAATTAAAAAAATATTAATCTGCTCTCACCAATTACTTCACTTTTTGATTTTTCTGTAGCTTCAACTTCCATTTTTGCCTTTTTTGTTGGGCTGTTCATGTTTCCAAATACACGTAATTTAGCATTGATAAACAGAGAATCTGTAGAAGCAAGCAACATCCATCCTGAGCTCTGCATAGCTTTCTCTGTTGTCCTCAAGGAATTGACTAAGTTGTAGAAAGTGACACAATCATATTGTGTCAGGTATCTAATGAAACAAGAAATTAAGTCTACTTATTGCCATGATATGCTTGTTTTCTGTCAGGTATGTATCTACTATGATAAAAATCAGTGAAATATAAAGTCTTACACTTTTTAAAGCAAAACATAACAGCCTATTTTCCAAGTGGAAACATTAATTTTTTTTAACATGCTGGCCGTCTCTCACCGAAGCAGTGTGACCCAAAAAAGAAACACTTTCACCATCAATCACACTATCACTGTCTTGCCAGAGGCGTGCAGATACAACAGTTTAAATGCCCCTTTCAACAGCGAATATCCCAAACCCTTCTAGTGCCTGCATTTTAAGGGAGGGGTTTGAGATATTTGCTGTTTAGAGGGACATCTAAATTTTTGTTTGTGTGTGCTTCTGGCAAGACAGTGATAATGTGAATGATGGTGAAAGTGTTTCATTTTCAGGTCACCCTGTCTCAGTGGGAGATGGCCAACATGTTAAATGAAAAAAATAGTGAAATGAACCTGTGTTTACTTGACTAATAGAGTAGCAGCTAAATTTTTCCATGAATAGTTTTCTTTCATCTGACTAATATGGACAGTTAATGTACTACTTGCATGGAACATTTACATAATATTCAGATATTTAGGAGTGGACGTGTCAGCAGATGGGTCTACGAAAGATGAGGTGAAGCATAGAATTGACGAGGGAAAAAAGGCGAGTGGTGCACTGAGGAGTCTGTGGAGACAAAGAAGAAAAGAGGGGATGGTACGAGAGTATAGTTATACCAATGCTCTTATATGGGTGTGAAGCATGGGTGGTGAATGCTGCAACAAGGAGAAGGCTGGAGGCAGATGGAGATGTCGTGTCTGAGGGCAATGTGTGTGGTGTGAATATAATGCAGAGAATTCATGGTTTGGTAATTAGGAGAAGGTACAGGATTACCAAAACTACTATCCAGAGGGCTGAGGAGGGGTTGTTGAGGTGGTTCGGACATGTAGAGAGGTTGGAACAAAATAGCATGACTTTGAGAGTGTATAATTCTGTAGTGGAGGGAAGGTGGGGCAGGGGTCAGCCTAGGAAAGGTTGGAGGGAGGGGACAAAGGAGGTTTCATGTGCGAGGGACTTGGACTTCCCTCAAGCATACATGAGCATGTTAGATAGAAGCAAATGTAGACAAATGGTTTTTAGGACTTGACGTGCTGTTGGAGTGTGAGCAGGGTAATATTTATGAAGGGATTCAGGGAAACTGGCAGGCTGGACTTGAGTGCTGGATATGTAAAGTACAGTGCCTGCACTCTGAAGGAGGGGTGTTTATGTTGCAGTTTTACAACTGTAGTGTAAGCACGCCTTTGGCAAGACAGTGATGGAGCGAATGATGGTGAAAGTTTTTCTTTCTTGGGCCACCCTACCTTGGTGGGAAACGACCAATGTGTTAATAAAAAAAAATTAATAAATGAGATATGTATTTGAACTTTGTGAATGAAACTTTACTGAAAATATACTACATAAAACATGGTATATTTCTAGAGCATTATTGCTGTAAAGGACTATCACACACTCTTGTGAAATTAATTAATTTTTATAATGAAGCAGAATGGTATAGGCTATTTTGCTAGGAAAAATGACAATATGCACCAGTGTGTTACATGAATAAACACCTTACACTAAAATTGTTCGTAGAACTTTGAGGTCAGCGATAAGTTGTTTGGTGCGCACAGACAGCTGATGCCAGATGGGTTCCAGCTGTACTTTAAGCATTTTTTCGAAAGACTTTGATATGGCATTCTCTGGTGTGAATTCTTCTGTATCAATTGTGCTATTTGATCGTCGCAGTTCCTGAAAAAACAGATAATACTGTATATACTTGTTACCTAATCCAAACTACAGTTTATGAAAAAACATAAAAAAATAAATCACATAAAGTCCATATAATTCAAGTACACGGACCTATTTTTTTAACAATACTATTATTCCGAACACTCTTATCGTGTTCAATTTGGTTATTATTTACTGTATATCAATATGTTTATTCTATATGACTTTACTATTGTATTTAAACTTGGATAAACCCTGTAATTAAGTTTTCTTAGTCAATGCAAAATTATCATAGTTATTATAGGTACAATACATATTTAAAAAAAAAGTATTTCAACTACATAAAATAATTTTTTAATGGGAAACATTCGCTATCAGAAGTGTGCTAACATCATAGTTCAGATAACTCTCCCAACTGCAGCATCCTCACCCCTCCTTCAGAGTGCAGGTACTGCACTTCCCACCTCCAGGACTCAAGTCTGGCTAGCTGGTTTCCCTGAATCCCTACATAAATGTTGCTTTGCTCGTGCAACAATAGCACATCAAGTCACAAAAACCACTTGTCTCCACTCTGATCGAATGTGTTTACACACGCTTATTGGTTGTTTAAGCCCCTAGCATTTAAAAACTTTGCCTCCTCCCTACAACCCTTCCTGAGATGACCCCTCCCTCATCCCCTTTTTTTCCCACCCCAGATTTATATATAATTTCAATCATCCTATTCTGCTATTTCCTCTCTAAATGCCCAGACCACTTGAAGAACTCATCTTATCTCTGCACTCATAAATTTCTGTATATTATTAATGTCCTATTTCTTCTTCTTTCAACGTACCAGCCATATCCCACTAAGGTGGGGTGGCTCAAAAGGAAAAACGAATGTTTCTCCTTTTAAATTTAGTAATATATACAGGAGAAGGGGTTACTAGCCCCTTGCTCCTGGCATTTTAGTTGCCTCTTACAACACGCATGGCTTACGGAGGAAGAATTCTGTTCCACTCTCCCATGGAGATAAGAGGAAATAAACAAGAACAAGAACTAGAAAGAAAATAGAAGAAAACCCAGAGGGGTGTGTATATACATGCTCGTACATGTATGTGTAGTGTGACCTAAGTATAAGAAGAAGTAGCAAGACGTACCTGAAATCTTGCATGTTTTTCTTTCTTTCAACAAACCGGCCGTATCCCACAGAGGTGGGGTGGCCCAAAAGGAAAAACGAAAGTTTCTCCTTTTACATTTAGCAATTTATACAGGAGAAGGGGTTACTAGCCCCTTGCTCCCGGCATTTTAGTCGCCTCTTACAACACGCATGGCTTACGGAGGAAGAATTCTGTTCCCCTTCCCCATGGAGATAAGAGGAAATAAACAAGAACAAGAACTAGAAAGAAAATAGCAGAAAACCCAGAGAGGTGTGTATATATATGCTTGTACATGTATGTGTAGTGTGACCTAAGTGTAAGTAGAAGTAGCAAGACGTACCTGAAATCTTGCATGTTTATGAGACAGAAAAAAAGACACCAGCAATCCTACCATCATGTAAAACAAATACAGGCTTTCGTTTTACACTCACTTGGCAGGACGGTAGTACCTCCCTGGGTGGTTGCTGTCTACCAACCTATTACCTACATGTTTTATTATTATTTTATTATGTTAATGACAAATTTCCTTGAAAGAACAATGAAGGCTGAGCATACCTGAACTGTAGCAGTAATGAGGTCAAGCAGTGACATCTGGATCTGCTTTACAGGTGTTGTCATCTGAAGGTGCAGCTCTACCACCTCAGGCTATTAATATACCAAACTGATTGATTCATATTTCATGTAATACAATCTCCCTCAACAGTCAAAAAATGACATCTGCAGGAGACAGTAATTGTGTATGTCTGCAGTCCAGTTAGTGTAAATTATTTTTTTAATAAGAAAATTAATTTTGGTCATTAAAATACTGAGTCAGTGTTGATTTTCTTTTAGTCATGAGGAAGCCCTAAATTAAAAGGGATCATAGAGTGCCTGGGAGGCATTCACGTTTGATCCTGGGAAGAGGAGATTAAAGTCTAATTTCCTCAATCAACTCCCCTTCACAGACATCAATATTGGGCTCTTTTTTTTTTCTTGAATTAAAAAATTAGTATGCCCAGAGATTTAGGGCAAAAGAATGTTTGAAATAATTTTTTGTCAGTTATCTGTGATATTCATGATGAACTTTTATACTGTACATTAAAATAAAAATAATTATACCATTTTATAGTTTAGTATAATTTACTCATTTTGCTTTTATATTAAGTCAGTATTTGCATAAGCCTACAATACTGCATTTAGTATAAAATTTTACAATTTAAATGAAATATTTAGTACAAAATGAGCTATTAAATTTTTAATTCAATTACTTATTCCAACTCCAAGTTTGTAAGGTTCTTAAATATTGTAAATAAGGAAACCTTTCAAATAAGCACTATTTATTTTAAATTTCTAGTATCCACATATGTACTTTATAAGATATTCACATGCATGTTTTTTTATTTTTTTCAACACAATGGTTATTTCCATCGAAGCACAGTGACCCAAAAAAGAAACACTTTCACTATCATTCAACACTTTCACCATCATTCTCTTTGCAGAGGCACCCAGATATGTCAGTTTAGATGTCGCTCCAAACAGTCAATATTCCAAACTAGCATGTATAACCACAAAAAATATATTAACCCAACAACTATCCCCCTCCAAGGTACGTTAACCCCCCTCCCCCCCAAAAAAGAAAAACATTCATCATCATTCATTCAGTCACTGTACTGTCAAGCCACAAGTGTGCAGACATCACAATTCAGATTACCCTCCGGCTGCAAGACTCCCACCCCTCCCTCAGAGTGCAGGCACAGCCCTTCCCACCTCCAGGACTCAAGTCTCGTTATCATTTATATGAACTGTATTTTGATGTGTAATCTTGAAGAAAGCTGAGAAAGTATCTGAACCAGCTTACCTTACATGCCTCCAGACAGGCATTAACATCCATATGGAAGCGTGGCCAAAGATATAATTTCTTGACAAAAAGGTTACGCATGACTCTCTCCACATGACAAAACCCAGCTGTGAATGACAGTGGGCTACTTGTCAGAGCTTTCACAAACCCTGTCTGAAAAAAATAATTTCAACTTAATATATATGCTGTCTTTTTCTACAAGAAATAAGCAGATATAAGTGCACTGGATATGTTATAACAGTGACTGAAACAATGAAAATTATGAAATACCCTGTGTATAATAAAAGATTTAATAAGCCATTAGAATAGAGAACAATATAGTGATCTAAGAAAGTAAGACACCAGAACAATAATGCTTCTACATACAGTAATTAATGGAGATTCCCCGGACAGCTAGGGCACTCTGTGCGACCAAGTTTTTCAGATAAGAACATGAAATAAGCCTTAAAGAAGTCTATTTTTCTATATAAAACAAGCTTATTTACAAATATACGGCACTTCCACTGCATTTGTAACACCCTCGAGGGGGAGGAGTTTTATTTTGAATTCAAAATGATCAAAGTCATACAACAAAAATAAAAGCCAATTATATGCAACTATATTTGCTTCATTTATACTGTATCATTAAAACAAATACAGTGGACCCCCGGTTATCGGCTGTAATCCGTTCCTGAAGGTCGGCCGATAACTGATATGGTTGATAACCGAATTAATGTTTCCCATAAGAATTAATGGAAATAAAATTAATTTGTTCCAAACAAAAATATTCACAAAAAAATAACTTTTTTTTACAATTATGTAAGTATTACATACCTTTATTGAAGGCTAATGCTGGCTTCTGGAAGATAGGGAGGAGGAAAGAGGGAAGAGTTAGTGTTTGGAAGGGGAATCCCCCTCTATGAAGACTTTAGGTAGCAATGCCTTCTCTGGGGTTACTTCCCTTCTTTGTCTTTTAATGCCACTAGAACCAGCTTGAGAGTCACTAGACCCCTGTCTCACAAAATAACTGTCCAGAGTGCTCTGTTTCTGGCATCTCTTTAAGATTTCCCTGAAGTGGGACAGGGTTTTGTCACTAAACATGTTGCAGATATGGCTTGTTTCAGCTTTGTCAGGGTGGTGTTTCTCTACGAAAGCTTGCACCCTGGTCCACATTGCCTCACCATGCCTTACAACACTGTGTATGCCACAACACTTCTTGAATCTATCAAACCATCCTTTGCTGGCCCTAACTTCACAAACTGCAGCACTTGTTCCAGGCATTTTCTTTGCAAGATCCTCATGCAACTGCTTTGCCTTCTCACAAATGATCGACTCCACTACACTGTCTCCCACTAATTCTTTTTCCTTAATCCATAATAATAATAACTTTTCCATCTCTTCCATTATCAGTGTCCTTTGTTTAGTTAGCAAAGGTACTCCTTTTGCAACATTAGTGTCTTTGATTTATTCTTTCTTTACCAGGATGGATGTAATTGTCGATTTATTCTTGCTGTACATCCTGGCAAGTTCCATCACCTTCATACCACTCTCAAAATTACCACTTCACGCTTAAATTCCATAATGTTTCTCACTTTCTTTACCACAGGAACTTTACTAGGAACTTTCTTTGGAGCCATGGTTACTTATTTCACAGTTGCAATGCAAGAAAAACCACTAAAAACAATGGCAAACAAGCGAAATATTTGGATGTATGAGCAGAAGCTTCCTCAGCCACCGAGTGACAAAGCCAAACTGAAGCGCAGGCTGCCCCAGCCGGCAGATGGACGCGTCCAAAACGGCTGATAACCGAGCGAACAGCCGATAACCAAGCGCCTAAAACCCTGCCGATAACCGAGTTGGGCGATTTCCAAACCGGTCAATAACCTGGGGTCCACTGTATGCTAAACATTTTAGACATAACCTTAATAGTGTATCTGCAACATCTGAAAATTTCTCCAGATAAAATTATTGCTGAATGCAAATATATTTTCAGATATCAGTGTACACATTTCTGGATTTTTTAATTCTTTTCATAATTCTTTACAGCATCCCAGCTATTCAAAGCAAACAGGAAATGAGCTGGACAGTTGGCTCATTTGTTCAATTTGTCTTTATATCCTATTCTTTACCATCTAACCTATAATTGTGAAAATGACATTCCAACACAGGCATGCAAACTACCATTTTCGTAATACAGTACCTTATTCTTCTGCCGATACAATCTGAGGATGAATGCTTCTTGGCACGACTCCAGAATCTTGTGAGCCTTCCATACAATGAAACCTACGGAGGAAAATGGTCCATGATAAATTATATCCTACTGATTATACTTCCTGTCATCTGAAAGGTCACAACAAAGTAAATACTTACATAATAACTATGATAATGATAATGATAACTATGATAATGATAATGAGTAGTCACGAAAGCACTTGGAATTTCTCTATTCTTTCAGAGTGGTTGTTTTGCATATTCTGAAATCACCTGTTTACTGTGATCTTATTGCATAATAACTAATATTGTGAGGTATGCCTCTTAGTGCAGGTATAATATATAGCATATTCAATATACTACAATGAATGCCTACTTTACTCAGTGACAGCTCTGGGAATCACTGCCAAAGTAGCTGCAATTTGCTCTTGGATGAATGACTGCTTTTTAATTTTTTTTTTTTAGACAAATACTTTTTACAAAATAGTTGATTTCTTTAAGAGTGCAGATCTCTGAAAAGCTATATGCTATAAGATTACTTATTTCTGTGGATCACTTCTTTAAGTGAGATTGATTTTGTGATCTGAATTTTGTACTCTCATCTCACTGTGCAGTGGTGTATGATCCTTACAGGTTTAGCCCATTTTTAAATATCAATAAATAATGTAATGACCTTTTCTAGGAACTTCTATGCCTCTAAATTTAGTACAAACTGACCCAATAATTACTGTAAGAAGGCTAATAACTCAGCTACACCAAAATAGTAATACAAAGAATAGATACACAATTTGTTAGTTGCATGATTCAATGAAAGAATAATTGCTGATGAAGATGTGGTAGTATGAGAGATTTGTTCTCACCGGTAATAAGCTCAACAGGAGCACGCTCCATCAACAGATCCATCACCATGATTCGTGATGTAACAAACAGCACTCCACCCTGATGGTAAATTTGTGACCTGCAAAAATGCATATATGTATCAAAGTGATAAAATCTATGGTCAAAGCAGGCTGATAGCTTGTTAACACCAATCTCCTGGTGAAACCAAAGGATTCAGCATGAAAGACAGTTCCCAGCAGCTTAATCATTCAGATCTGTAAAAGCTGCCTGAGATCAAGAAGAATGAGAATGATGTCAAAGTTCAAATATTTGGTAATACATATTAAGGGTTTTACAATACGTACAAGTCACCAAAACTTGTAAAGGGTGGATGTCTATCTCAAATGTACACAGTGAAAACAAAAGATTTAATCTCTGATTTGGTGACTTCATGTTGCTATTTGATTAGACTTATTTTATGACTTTCACTGTGCTGAGATGTTACAAGCTATGACATAACTGCAATTTCCAATGATTATCACATGAAAATACAGACCACTTCAAAACACTTAAACTAGAATTTGCTACCTTGGATGATACTAATAAATGAAAAATCTTATGTGGACTCAGGGACTGAGTTTTATGGTACTTCCATAAGGGTAACAAGAATTAAGAACCAATTTTCTTTAAATATTTTGCCTGCTATAGTCTTACAGTAACTCTAATGATAAACTTTAAATAAGGTCTGTGTGATAATTTTGTAAATTTACATTTTTCTTTTAATTCTTGTGTTTTATGTGGTAAATCCATAACCCCAAAGTATTTTGGCATCTAATGAACATAAACCATGCAGATCAATGCCCAATATATATCCTGTAAAAGCATTTATCATATGTTTAACCCTTAAACTGTTCAAGCAGATCTACGTTCACATGCGTAGATCTACGTTTTTTTTTACATATTTTCAAATATAACAAAAAAAAAAATGCAGATCAAAGTTTTTTTTACACTTTTTCAAATGTAAAAAAAAGATGATCTACTTTTTTTACATACTTTCAAATGTTGAAAAAACGTAGATCTACGTTTGGACAGTTTAAGGGTTAACAAAGCTGGGAAATAAAATATATATGTACTTGACTGTTCTTGCTACTCAAAGAAACATGGATTTCCTAAGATACTTTTAAAAAATGATGCATCCTTTAAGCATCAATGAATGATAAATAAAGTGATATCCTACTTTCCTATTTAAAACTTGAGTATATTACGTATGTTAAATTTTCTAGCAGAATACAGCTTAATCACCTGTCAACGATTCATATTCTCCCCACATCATTCCCTCAAAAAATAATAACATTGCTAACCTTTCACTCACGGAGCAGTCAGCAGTAACACATCGTGGGAGTGGAACAATTCCTTTACCCTCAAGCTGGGATAACACATATTCCTCTTCTCGTGAAGTTGTACCAATTACAATGACTAAATTACCTGGGTCATTGTAAGTGATGATCAAACTTTCCAAAATTCTTTCAAGTCCCAGGCCTCTACAAGTAGAAAAAAAATGAATAATGTTTGCTATTACTGAATATTTATCAAGTGAACTTAAAATATGAATGTGAAAAAAAGTCTCTATTACAATTATTACTATTACCATTATTATCTATATATACAGTAATTATTTGTCATAAAACTCTGAAAATCTTATTTTAATAAGTTGAAAAATGCAGTATTGCACTAAATGAATATTATTTATCTTACTGTAAAACAAATTTTAGTACCTACTTGTGTAATGCTACTTTTACCAAATTAGTTACAGTAGTTATACATTTGAATTTATTGTATTTTAAATTTGATCTCATTATAATACAATCTGATACAATATAAGGCTCAGAAGAAAGTCATTAATTATAAAGATGCATTTTGAGCAAACTAATCATAAGATTTACATTACTATTTATATCCAGACCTAGTACAGTGGACCCTCGCTTAACGATCACCTCCCAATGCGACCAATTATGTAAGTGTATTTATGGAAATGCGTTTGTACGTGTATGTTTGGGGGTCTGAAATGGACTAATCTACTTCACAATATTCCTTATGGGAACAAATTCGGTCAGTACTGGCACCTGAACATATTTCTGGAATGAAAAAATATCGTTAACCAAGGGTCCACTGTACATATATAATTTAGGTCAGCATAGCTTGGGTAATTCATTACAATCATTTGTACAATAAGACGGAGATACGAGGGTTGAAGGTAAACACCTTGTTGGATGGTAACACTATATATTGTCAGACTGTGGATGAGAGGTGGGAACCCAGGCCTGCCCTGTTCGCCTGTCTATGTCTATCCGTCGAGTGAGGAAGAGGCAGCTCGTCACTCACTCACACTGCATCCCGTGATGTCATACAGTCACTCTGTCTACTAGGGATCTTCTATATAAAGCACATGGATGGTACTATAATACGCTATACAACACATATAAGGGGATCAGCAACTATGCTGACAAATAAAGAAATGGTCATTTATATATAAATTACTGTACACGGAAATTACATCAGCTCATTGACCTGAATTTTATGGAGTGGTTGAACTGACGTGGTGAAATTGAAACATTAAAATTTAGACAGTCAATGAATATAACATTTGTGAGATTTTAATAGGTTCTATTTAACAATATTAGTAAAGATATTGGCAGATGGGGAACCTATATTATTTTCAAGTAGTGAGTTCCAAATTTTTGGGCTTTTTATCTGCATGAAGTTTCTGAACAGGTTGAGATGTACAGGTGGAATTTCACAGAGATACTTGTTCACTGTAATGTGTCCATTGCAGCTCTCCAAATAGAATTTAGGCTCTGGGTTCATATTTAAACTAAGTGTTGTGTGTGCTGTAGACATAGCTTGCATAGTAGAAAGTGTGAATATTGTGTAGGAACAAAATTAACTCCCAAGTGGTTGCAAAAGATATGCTAATTATTTCCAAACATGACAATGCAATACTTGTAGCAATATACTCCACTGCAGAAGAAAAGTTTTAACTAAACCTTACTTACACATGTATATTACAAAGAACTCTTATGGTGCTCTGAAGCAGTTTTCAGTTTAGTTAAGCATTTTTAAATTACTGTACATTACTGGTACACAAAGAACAAAATATGATACAGCACTATAATTTTAATGTTTGCACATACTACAGTTATATATGATATACTGTAAATATACATATGAGAGAATCATACTCACTTGGCTGCTATAAGGAGACCATCTTCATGTAACAGATCCAACAACATCTGATTCTCATATTCCAACATTTCTGAAAAAAAAAAAAATAGTCACGTCTTCATAGCAATAAATAAATAAGAATTGGATGACAATTACTATACTACACATATAAGGCATTTCAGGATCTGCTCCCCGATGTCTGGTGAAGATTTTGCCTACATCTGGGCAGGTGAAGGAAAGGAAGCAAATTTCCTCTAAAAAAAAAAAAAATATTATTATTCTTACTACTATTATAACCAAGCTCTAAACCCGTAAGGGTCATACAGCGCTCTCTGAAAAAGTAATTCGGGAAAATGCTCGATGGGGCCTCGCACTATTACAATGACCCCACTGGAAATAAGTCACTTTGTCTGAACTTCTTTTGGGTTATCCTGGGTAACTTACACTATGTATGACAACCGTACCTGTGCCTAAATAAACTTACTTCCCATCAGTCTTCTTCTTCTTCTTCTTCTGTTGGGGTTTCAGGGCCACTGACAGCATACACCGTATCCCATCAGTCGAGAACTGGTTACTTTTCAATGTTGTTGCTGTGAAGGGATACCTCACCTTGAGTTTTCTTCTTCTTGGAGATTTATAGGTTCACTGACAGGATAAACCGTATCGAATCCTGCCTTTTGGTGTCCGGGGAAGAAATCGTGACTAGTAAGTAAGTTTCTTCAGGTATACACACAGTTACATAGATTATCAAACATAGCAGCATATGTGTAGAGAACCTAGGATAACCCAAAAAAGTCAGACAAAGTGACTTATTTCCATTGGGGAATAAGTAAGTTTATTTAGGTTCCAACTACTGGGGGATTACCAATAGACCCCTGGCTGTCTTCAAGCAGGCACTGGACAGGCACCTAAACTTAGTACCTGACCAGCCGGGTTGTGGCTCGTACGTTGGATTGCGTGCAGCCAGAAGTAACAGCCTGGTTGATCAGGCCCTGATCCACCATGAGGCCTGGTCACAGACCGGGCCGCGGGGGCGTTGACCCCCGAAACCCTTTCCAGGTATACACATGAGTACCTGCTCCTAAATAAACTTACTATTATCATACATAGTGTAAATTACTTAAGATAACCAAAAAATCAGACAAGGTGGCTTAATTCCATTGGGATTCTTGTAGCTCGACTGGTAGCGCACTCAGCTCACACACTGAGGCCAGTGGTTCGATCCCAGGTACAGGTGGAAACATTAGGACGTGTTTCCTGAAGACACCTGCTGTCCATGTTCACCTATCAGTAAAATAGGTACCTGGGTGTTAGTCGACTGGTGTGGGTCGCATCCTGGGACAAAATTGACCTAATTTGCCCGAAATGCTCTGCATAACAAGGGACTTTCTATGTAGTAGTAGCAGTGTCATTGATGTCAGCTATGTATACCTTGTACATGTACTTGTAGAAATAAAGATTATTATTATTATTATTATTATTATTATTATTATTATTATTATTATTATTATTATTATTATTATTATTATTAAAAAGTGTGAAAATCAGTTACAATAACAGGAGATACAATAGGAATAAAGTAAACTGAGTAATTTACATTAACATTAAAGAGAGAGGATCAGCTTACAATTACACGAACAATTTTAGGTGCACATGTTAAGTAAGTAAGTAAGTTTATTCAGGTATACACAAATACAGTTACATAGATTATCATACATAGCAGCATATGTGTAGAGAACCTGGGATAACCCAAAAAAGTCGAGGTGACTTATTTCCATTGGGGTCCTTTTTACCTTATTATTATAATATAAAGGAGATATACTAGGAATACGGTAAAATGAGTTATTTATATTTACATGTGTGTTAGCTAAAAAAATAAAAAATCATTCTCCTCCCTTTCTGTAGCTACATTCATCAGGCACCTTTTGGCTGTCATCTTGAACTGGTTCATGCTATGACTGGCTTTGACATGTGCAGGCAATCTGCTCCATTCCTTTATTACTGTACAATAAAAGGTGTTTGACTAGTGGGGGTACCTGTTATATGTCCCGATGCGTCCTGAGGCCACTGAGAAGGCATAGTATAGGCCAGGATCTCCTGGCAGCCTGGATAGTCAAATCCCTCCCACTCATGACTCACGAAATTGAAATAACGTGATTGCAGACAAATCTACTTTCTTGCTTACTATCTTAGTTAATAGCTAACATACTTTCTTACTTGATATCTTAGTTTTAACCTACTTGCTTACTTACTTACCTATTTGCTTATTTGTGTCTTGAAGATGGTTCAGCGCGGACCAAAAGTGTCATCTAAAGTTTTTCTCCAAATCTGGGTTATATTTGAATTGTTGTAGCCAGGGCATTGTGACCTTCATTAGTAGTATTGTAATTTAAATTTTCCGCCCCTTGAATCCAGCGCCATTTTTTAATCAATTGCTTTAGAAACATCTTATAATGAATATAAATTATTGACACTTTATGTACAAATTAAGCAAATTAGTCACATATGTTTAAGATGATATAATTTTAGTGTTTGTTTAACTGAAGTTTACTTTGATTAATTATAATTCAGGCGAGATATCCGGATAAATACTCTGTCCTAAAATCAGTTTTGTGATAAGTACCTAAGGTATATATCAGTGAATAATTTCCCAGTGAAGGTATAGGTGGGGCTGGTCTGCTGTGCTGTATTTGACACTGCTGCTCCTCCCTCCTCACACTAGTAATAATTACCGCTGTTTTCTAGTACACTGAGGTGAGCTCCATAAGCAAATTACTCCACTGGGAAAATTGGGCTGGACTAGAAGCTGTAATGGAGGACCAAGTTACTGACGGAAGATTTCTGTTTTGTTTGGCATTTCTTTTTTCTCTACTTAATTCTGATGTAATTGTTTATTTTATAGATATTTTTAGGGTTGTATATTAATATTACATTTGTAATTTTATAGGTATTGAAGGTGAAGTTCGACTAATTGATGGTAAGCTGAGACATATTGATGATCTCGTCCTTTAATAGTGACTCTGCTATTTATGAGTCACACCTCAGTTATATTTTATAAGTGTATTATATTACACATATGTAGCATATTATGCTTGTGTGGAGTATTACTGTAGTTATTACAGCTGGCTGAGTTACAATTGGTGATTTCTCGTACCATTTTTTAAAGTTTACAGTCGCTACATATGGTTTTACTTATAATTATTTATTTACTGCAGTATACGGGTAATGTAGTTTACATGTAATACAATATTAGGTATAAAAGAAAGTCACTGGTATATGGTACATTTCAGGCAGAACTAACATGATGGTTATTGGCATTATTAGTGGTAAGTTATATAGATTTCTATTGGTTTATGGTACTGATGATTTTGGAGGTCTGAACGCTGTATGACCCTTGTGGGTTTAGCACGTAGTTTTGATTATAATAATGGAGGTCCGAGCATGTTGGTGAGGAAGGAGTTGATGCTGTGTGATGGATGAGTAAGTTTATTTAGACATGGGTATACATATGTACAATTATCATACATGGTGTAAATTACCTGTGATAACCCTCAAAAAAGTTTGTGATTTATTTCCATTTTAATATCTTATTTAAACCTTAAAAGTTAAAACAGCTGAGTAACTTAAATGTGTGAAAATCATTTACAACATATGGAGATATACGAATAAAGTAAACTGAGTTATTTACATTAACATTAAAAAGAGGATCATTCCTTTCCCTTTTCCTTCCCCCTCCCAACCCTCCCTTTTCCCTATCCTGTTTGTAGCCTCTGGGGTCCTTCCCTCTGGCCTTACGGTTTCTAGGTAGGGGAGTGTGTGCCAGGGTTCATCCCGCTCCATGGGGTTCCTTGGGTGTGGTGTAGTTTGCCGTGCAATCTGGATTATCTGGAGGCATCCTGCTCCCTTCCCAGATTACCAAGAGGTGGGTCAGGGTATCGTGGTGAAGGGTGTATCTCCAGAGGCTGACTGCCCTCTCTTTTGTCCACCGAGGTAGCTTGGTAGATGTGAGGCTGCTATCCCAGAGCGTTGTGGGTAGGGTATGTGAAGGGTAGAGTATGGCACGGGTTCCATGTTGCATCTGCACTGCTGGCAGTCTCGAGGTCCTCTCAGATGAGAGGGGAACTTACGGCCCTTTCATGCCTTTAGTGACTGTCCCTCCGCTCTTTTTTTTTTCTTTCCTTCGTTCTTTTTTTTTCTTCAAAATAACAGTAAGACAGAAGTACCACCATCATGGAGTCTGTTTAAGGAGAGCGAAAACCTTACTTATGCTATGGCTGTCTCTCGGCTTCACCTTCTGGCGAATCTTCCTCATATTCCTTATTCTCGAGTAGCTAGGAAACCTCCAACCTTGACAATCCCCTTGTCTACCAGTTCCTCTGGTGCCATGTCACCCGTCTCTAATTCTTTCATGGTTTTACTCTCAGAAACCCCCCACCTCCTTACCTCTTCCTACCTCTACCTCTTCATCTTTTCGCCCACTAGTTTCTCAGTCTGCGAGGCCTCGCAAGCCTGCACCCTCTTCGTGCCTATCACCTGCAAAGTTGAACCCGTCTCCTAAGCCCAAGTCTCTTCGCATTCCCCCTGTGCTTACAATTCCCCAACAGTTCTCCTTTTTGGCCTCAGTGCCTAGTTCTCATCCCCTTTCTAGCTCACACGAAGGTGGAGGTTCACCCCCCTCCTCGTGTGGTACCCTCTTTTCCTTGTCCCCCCCAAACTTCTTCCCCAGTCCCCCTCCAGCCTCTCCCCCTCTCCTGTTCTATTGCAGGACTCTTCTGTCCTTTCCAGCACATCTCTCCAGGTTCATACTCCCCTCCCGTCTCAGACTTCTTTGGTTCCATCCATAGTTTCCTCAATCTCTACTTGCTTTATCTTACCTGTCTCTGAAGTCATGGTATCAGCATCTTCCTTGTCCACTGAAACACTTGATACTATTTCCAACTATATTGTGGAGACGAAACCCTCAATAGACACCTGTGCACCTCATTATGCCCCTTCTTATTTTTCACAACCCTTGCAGCAGTCTTTTCCTTCACAGCATTCTGATTCCTCCTTGCTTACATGCTTTTAATTACTTCCACACATTGACTTTACTGACCCTACTAGCCCATAGATTTTATTGCTTCTCATTGTTAGCATACCTGTCTTTGTGAATAATGACTTATTATTTACAATGGAATATTCGTGGCCTTGGGTAATCGGGAGGAGCTCTGGGTGTTGCTTTTCAAGTTTTCTCCAGTAATGTCTGGTTACAAGAGCCTAAGGTTCATTCAGCAGTTATCAGTCACATTTCAGGATGTGTGCTGTTGCATTCTTCTGATCCCTTTCCTGATGAAACTTTTAATGAGAGTGCACTTCTTGTGCGCGTTAGTACTACCGCTTCAACAGGTCTTTGTTTGTTCTCAGCTGCATTTTACCGCAGCTCGTATTTATTTGCACAGGTGGTATACAGTTGGCTCTCTCTGTCTCTCCCCTTCCTGTGCATTCTGTATCTTGGATGTTACGTTCTTGATCTCTTCTCTGCCGCCGCCCATCTTGTTAGGTGATTTTAACGCTCATCATCTTTGGGAAGGGTCCCACTGACTCGTGGTGATCAGTTGGAGAGACTTCTCACTTCTCATCCT